AAGCTTCCAAGTCAAATTAGGATTACTGAAAGATATGGACAATTTAAAATAAAATACGTAATTGATTCAGAGTGTGGTATTTCTCATGCGAGGCCAGCCCACAGGTGTTGGTGGTTTAACCACTCATCATAACATCATAATCAATTACGTTGATCGGAAAAATTGAATGACTTTACACTGGTGAACGGTGATAATTAACAAATTTCTTGACTATTCAGCTCGAATACTTTAATTGATATAATTTGAAATAGCCGTTTGTCGAGTAGAAAGGACACGATTGACTAACCAACAAAGGGAGGTTGGTGTCAATAAGCTCAGGACTGTTAGTGGAGGTTAGCAATATACAGCAATGTACTCTATGATACCTGTACTATGTTCTAATATCAAAGCCAATTAGCCTTAGGAGTGCTAGCGTCAGTTAAGATTCAAGTAGCAAGTAATTAGCAGATTATTAGCACACTGTATGTTGACTAACTAACGGTTTAAGAAGGTTAGCGTCAGTACAGGGATCTCGGGGAGTATTAAGCTGACCAACTAGCTGGAAAAGTGCTAGTGTCAGTTAAGAGACAATTAGTAGGTAATTAGCGGATAATTAGCAAACTGTTAGGCTGACTAACTAACGGTTTAAGAAGGTTAGCGTCAGTACAGGGATCTCGGGGAGTATTAAGCTGACCAACTAGCTAGAGGAGTGCTAGTGTCAGTTAAGAGACAATTAGTAGGTAATTAGCGGATAATTAGCAAATTGTTAGGCTGACGAACTAACGGTTTAAGAAGGTTAGCGTCAGTACAGGGATCTCGCGGAGTATTAAGCTGACCAACTAGCTAGAGGAGTGCTAGTGTCAGTTACGAGACAATTAGTAGGTAATTAGCGGATAATTAGCAAACTGTTAGGCTGACTAACTAACGGTTTAAGAAGGTTAGCGTCAGTACAGGGATCTCGGGGAGTATTACGCTGACCAACTAGCTAGAGGAGTGCTAGTGTCAGTTAAGAGACAATTAGTAGGTAATTAGCGGATAATTAGCAAACTGTTAGGCTGACGAACTAACGGTTTAAGAAGGTTAGCGTCAGTACAGGGATCTCGGGGAGTATTACGCTGACCAACTAGCTAGAGGAGTGCTAGTGTCAGTTAAGAGACAATTAGTAGGTAATTAGCGGATAATTAGCAAACTGTTAGGCTGACGAACTAACGGTTTAAGAAGGTTAGCGTCAGTACAGGGATCTCGGGGAGTATTACGCTGACCAACTAGCTAGAGGAGTGCTAGTATCAGTTAAGAGACAATTAGTAGGTAATTAGCGGATAATTAGCAAACTGTTAGGCTGACGAACTAACGGTTTAAGAAGGTTAGCGTCAGTACAGGGATCTCGGTGAGTATTAAGCTGACCAACTAGCTAGAGGAGTGCTAGTGTCAGTTAAGAGACAATTAGTAGGTAATTAGCGGATAATTAGCAAACTGTTAGGCTGACGAACTAACGGTTTAAGAAGGTTAGCGTCAGTACAGGGATCTCGGGGAGTATTAATAAGCTGACCAACTAGCTAGAGGAGTGCTAGTGTCAGTTAAGAGACAATTAGTAGGTAATTAGCGGATAATTAGCAAACTGTTAGGCTGACGAACTAACGGTTTAAGAAGGTTAGCGTCAGTACAGGGATCTCGGGGAGTATTAAGCTGACCAACTAGCTAGAGGAGTGCTAGTGTCAGTTAAGAGACAATTAGTAGGTAATTAGCGGATAATTAGCAAATTGTTAGGCTGACGAACTAACGGTTTAAGAAGGTTAGCGTCAGTACAGGGATCTCGCGGAGTATTAAGCTGACCAACTAGCTAGAGGAGTGCTAGTGTCAGTTAAGAGACAATTAGTAGGTAATTAGCGGATACTTAGCAAACTGTTAGGCTGACGAACTAACGGTTTAAGAAGGTTAGCGTCAGTACAGGGATCTCGGGGAGTATTAAGCTGACCAACTAGCTAGAGGAGTGCTAGTGTCAGTTAAGAGACAATTAGTAGGTAATTAGCGGATAATTAGCAAACTGTTAGGCTGACGAACTAACGGTTTAAGAAGGTTAGCGTCAGTACAGGGATCTCGGGGAGTATTAAGCTGACCAACTAGCTAGAGGAGTGCTAGTGTCAGTTAAGAGACAATTAGTAGGTAATTAGCGGATAATTAGCAAATTGTTAGGCTGACGAACTAACGGTTTAAGAAGGTTAGCGTCAGTACAGGGATCTCGCGGAGTATTAAGCTGACCAACTAGCTAGAGGAGTGCTAGTGTCAGTTAAGAGACAATTAGTAGGTAATTAGCGGATACTTAGCAAACTGTTAGGCTGACGAACTAACGGTTTAAGAAGGTTAGCGTCAGTACAGGGATCTCGGGGAGTATTAAGCTGACCAACTAGCTAGAGGAGTGCTAGTGTCAGTTAAGAGACAATTAGTAGGTAATTAGCGGATAATTAGCAAATTGTTAGGCTGACGAACTAACGGTTTAAGAAGGTTAGCGTCAGTACAGGGATCTCGCGGAGTATTAAGCTGACCAACTAGCTAGAGGAGTGCTAGTGTCAGTTAAGAGACAATTAGTAGGTAATTAGCGGATACTTAGCAAACTGTTAGGCTGACGAACTAACGGTTTAAGAAGGTTAGCGTCAGTACAGGGATCTCGCGGAGTATTAAGCTGACCAACTAGCTAGAGGAGTGCTAGTGTCAGTTAAGAGACAATTAGTAGGTAATTAGCGGATACTTAGCAAACTGTTAGGCTGACGAACTAACGGTTTAAGAAGGTTGATAAAATAGTGAAAATCAATACAAACTAGGTAATGTTTGATTGCCGTCTCCTACCTTCGCCAGATGAATTCCAGGACACTAATTACTCCAAGGGTTCACGCCGGCCGTAAAAGGATTCTAAGAAGGTTAAAACTCGAACTGCTCGGATTTAGAGTCGTAGATCAACTGTCCGACCCCCTGGAGTCGATCGCGGCCGCAGAGATGGTTAGCCGCTTGTGCGCATGTCCGGTGGTGTGCAGGAATCGACACGCCGGTCCGGCCAAAAGAGTCCACGGCGCATGGTCGGTGGCCTACACGTTAAACACTGTCAACTGGACTGGCGGGCTTTTCAAACACTCTAAACTTGTACTAATTCCCCACTACATAAAATTAACTAATCATATAGGTAATTTTCTCAAGTAATAATTTCTGATAACTAATTTAAATATTTAAATTATTTATTTTCAAGCTGAGGTGTAATCTTATTCTAGTATTCAGGCTATTTCCTATTAAATAAAATACACTTTAGTAACATAGTAAAAAAAAAAATGTTACAACTGGGACACAAATATTTTTTCCTTATGTTGTCACAAGGGGAAGGTAAAATGAACTCCTCATCAACATTGTGAGTTTATGGAAAATCTTATCAACAGTGACTATAAAAAAAAGTATTAAGGGTCAAAAGAGACAAAAAACTATTTGACTAAAATATAATACAAATCTGCATTTGAAATGGCCAGTTCTAAGTCTCACTTGAATCAACATCTTTCTGGTAGTGGTAGTCTACATAGTTTTAAAATCCACGACTCCTTTTCCATCAAATTGGACCGTTAATACCCTCTAACATTGAACAAAGTATGCCCAACTTTATATATACGACGTAAACACAGCTTTTACTCACAGTATGGGTCAAAGATTCGTGAAATGCGACCAACTGCTGATGCGTGATTTACATGTAGGCTAAGTGACTATCTTTATTCCATAAAACAAATGTAATGAAAAAAAAAAAACTACGAATAAAGGAATATACTTGAGCAAATTATCTAAATAGCATAAATAGCTGCTTATTAGGTTATCAGCATTGCCCAGTTCGTATACTATTTATTTTTCAAATGAAACTCGAATTAATATAAAACATTCATTTGGTTAAAATAATATATCGGTTTGATTAACATAAAATAGTTTATACAGGCAAACTATCAGTTCTATTTCATGTAAAAATTAAACAGCCCCTAAATAAAATACAAAGATAAACAGTATTTGTTAATTATTATTTCTTTTTTTGCTGACAATATTCCCGTGGCGGAGCACGGGCGGTTAACTAGTTTAATCTTATTTTACACGATTTTTCATTTCAGATTTCAAAAAGCACCATTTAAACATACATCAACCCCGGACGAAGGACGGGTACTCTGCTAGTATACTATAAATAAGTATATAATTTAATTATTTATATTGTAATATCTTTTCAACATAACTGAAATGTATTAGTTTTAATGAAACGTTGAATGTTGGTATTGGAATGAAATTGAATTTTGTATTTCTTCCATTGAAACACTCCAAAAATATTTCAAACTGGAGGAAACTTAAACAAGAGTAGAGAGAGATTGAGATGACTATTTACATTGTTGAGGTACTTGTTCTAAATACGTTTCAGCAGCCTCCTGCATAATCAATTAATACCGATAATTCATCTTGTAAATAAATGTGGAAGAGAAATTGCCAATCTAGAATGTCTCGCTGGTAGCGATGTTAATTAATTAGGTGAGGCAGAAAGAGGACAAAAAACTCAAATTGACAACCATCTTAACTACCTATCAATATTTTTGCCCTGGTATCATTGATGTCTTCTACATTGTTATCGGCAGCCTACATCAATTGTTGGCCTATCGATGCTTATCCCTACCATAGCCTGTGTGATAAATAAAAAAAGTCATACAATATTTTTCAAGTTGAGAAAAATAAATAGTTTTATAAAACATTTAGTAGTTATCAGGGTGAGTGCACCAGCAAATGGCCATTTAGTTTGTGTAAATTATATTAAGCTTTTGGTTTTGCCTAGTCCATCACAAACAGTGGTTTATCTTTTCATATTGTCTTATCAAATTTAGTAACATCAATCTTGACACATTTAGTAACATCAATGTAGGACATGGTCTTTGAGATTCTCTTAACACATTTTTAAAGAATTGTTTCAGTGTTTTCACTAGATGAGGAAAAATTACTTATAAATACTGTATTTCTGTACCCACCTATTCCGGCTGCATTATATTCCTCTTCTTCTTGTTTTTTTGTCAGTTTGATGACATCTTCTCTACTAGCATGTTGCCTGTTATTTTTCCGTTGACCTACAGAATGCTTCAACTGTATTTGTTCCAATTCTTCATCAAATCTTCCCAGGTACCTAAAACGTTATGGTTTGTTAAAAATGTTTTTTTTTAATTGAACGATTAAATTGGAGTACATAAGACTGTTTCAAATAGTAGTTCAAAACATTTTCTGAAAAGTAAACGGCTTACTACCAAATTTAAATTCAACGACTGATTATTGTTGTTTTTATGAAAAGATTGTATTTGGAAACATTTTGAATGAAATAAAGATAACCTTTTTAAAATCCTGTTTCAAAAATTGAATACTTTGAAATTGGTTCATAAGGATGGTTTTACTTGGTTGTTGTTGATGAATGATGCTAATCTAATGAAACAAAAAGTTGTCTTATCCTAAGTTTTTAACTCATTGGCGATGAAAATTTTTAAATTTCTCTACTAACACAATAATTTTTAGTCCTTTTATGTCTTATTAGTATTTCAAAACAATTTGTCCATTTTCAACAAAAATAAAAGCCATAAAGAAAAATCTGTTTTCTATTGCTCTAAGGCCCGGTTCACACGAACGACAAACCTAGCAGACTAGGCTTGGACTAGGTAAGCACTAGGTAAGCACGACTGGGTAGCGGACCACAGGATCAAATGGAGCCGTTCACACGAGCCTAGGACACCGACTAGCTAGTTGTGTTCGAGCTTGATGTCCCAAAACCTAGTCGGGCCCCGCTTCCCAGTCCGTCGTGGCAACTACCCAGTCGCCCAGTCGAACTGCGTAGCAGTACATGTAGCCTTATGGGAGCGTTCACACGAGCGATCGGGTAGTCGAGCTGCAGCTCGCATTCTTACCTTTGTTCTCATTGTGCACCAGTGATGGAACCGAGTGGTTTTGATATCTATATTTTCACCTAGTCCGTAGACATGTCGCTCGTGTGAACCGGTGTGATCCTGTGGTCCGCTACCCAGTCGTGCTTACCTAGTGCTTACCTAGTCCAAGCCTAGTCTGCTAGGTATGTCATTCGTGTGAACCGGGTCTAAACCAATGTAAAAAGAAGCGAAACACGTAGTGTGCAATCCTTACTAAACTCACTAAATGCCGTCAACTTCCACCTAAGCCAGTTACAGTTTATTTAAGGTAACCCCTCCACTCCAGCAACGCCACATTAGCAAGCACAAAATGGATTGCGAAATCTAGGGGATTCAAACCCGTGTATGTAGAAAGAACTCTACGCTACACTCGTCAGTGCAACACCTTAGTCAACTGAGCTACCATGCCACTGTCGACTGAATGGGTCGATTGCCAGTATAAGCAATTGTACGTTAGATTTGACATACTAGTTGGGTTCAGCAGTATGACTATCTCTCGGCAAAATGTGGCGACGGGTCTTTGCAATGGGTCAAACATCAAGTTTACTATTACAATTATAACCATTATTAAATACGCGGAAAAACAAAGTTATAATGCAATGAATAACAGCTTACTTTTCGATTAAAGATGCAATCTCACCATGGCTTATTTCTGAGACATCTGCTGGAAGATTGGTTTGAAACCACAAGAACTTTTCACCCGTCACATTTAACTTCATTTGATGTACCATCTTTGATTTCTTTCTTGCTGTTTCTCTGTAAATGAATATTTATTATTAATGTTTATGTTATTACATTGTAAGTTAGGAATGAATGTACTTTACATCCATGCTTTTACATCCTTTCAGTCTCATATGGACTTATTATAAACACTAAATACCTAATCCTTTTTTAAAGAAAATATCTAATTCAACTTAGGAAGATTTGTTTAAGGTTTGGTTACACTTGACAGGAAAAGAAACAGACAAACTTTGTTTAGTGTGACAATAAAGGACAAAGCAAGGAAACAACACAGACAGTCTAAGCCTGGATGATCTTTGTTAGCTGCTGTGAGGATAAGCCCTGGTGCTTGGGCTACACTACATAGAACACAGACAATGAATTGTCAAAGTCTTTGTCTGGATGATCTAAGCAAGTTTCTTGCTCTTTGTTAGCATTGGCATTACATTGTTGTGTTGGTGAGGCATTATGTCCACTCGATACCATGTTTCTATTCCTTTTATTAGTCTTATGAACAGTCCACAAAACTTTTACTGTACTTCTTAGCTATGCACGTAGTTTATAAATCACTTTAAATTGTTTTCCAAGGTTCAATAAAATAAAATCATATTTAATAAAATTGTACATTAATATATGAACAGAGTTAGTTTGCAGAAATATAAACAAGCACATTATTTTTCTTATTTATTACATAGGATGCTTACATAATGTATAAGTTAAAAACAATCTGTGGTTTAATCATAGTTATTGAAAGATGACCTATTCCTACAATCTGTAGGGCCCAATCTGAAGGCCCATAGCCCTTCTCTTGGGTACGTGTGGTACGTATGCTTACCCAATTATTTATAACAACCCTTTCGACAACGATCCTTGATACCGGTACTTTTCCATAGAATACACGGCCTACTTAGGTACTTAAGAAATAAAATTATAAACGTCCAAAAACCCAACGTTGTGTGATTTTTGTCACATTTCCTTATAATGTTAATATATATACCAGCAACCATTGTTTAGAGAATACGTAATCTATTAAATAACAGAAAGTTATGTTGTATATGGTTTTTTTTCAAACTGACACTGATAAGTTTACATTAAGAGTTGTGTACAAATAAAGCAATTAATGGGAAATAACTTTGATTGCCGATAACTTTTTACGAGAAAATCCAAAACCAAGAGATCAATAACCTTGATTAACGCATATAATTGGTCGGCTGTACTACAGTTCTTAACTGTAAACGTTGGTTTTTGGTACGGTACTGGTTCTTTTCCTTTTAACCTTTAGTAGCAGCAAGAATCATTTTTACGTACCAACACATCACAGTAATTTACAAATTAGTTATCGTTGGTGTTGCACCTTATTTATTACAGGCGTAGGCCTATTCAATTTAATTGATGTCTTAACTGTATAATTTTTGCTTTTTTTGTCTGGATTCCAAAATGTTATGCTAAGAAAACTAGGCCTATAACGCATTTTAGTAAAACATTTATTCAGCAAACCATCATGAATTGTTCAAACACTTTGAACGTTGTTTATGTATCAATAGTTCGTTGCCTATTTTGGTAATTTTTATTACAAATTACCAATCTAAATCGTCTATAGTAGGCCTACTGTACTTCATTTCATATAGCAAACCGATTCAGATAGCATTTCAACAGAATTTCGAGTCATCTCCGGTCCAAGCAAATATAAATTGTTATGATCAAATTTTATGGCATTTGATCTGTGTTTATTTATCTGTTATTTATCTGTGTCTACAATTTTGTGTATTTGATACCTGATAACTACAACGTGTTTTGCTGTCAAATTTTTATTTTTTTTGCACACATTACCTAAATTATTTAAACCAGAAAGAACATTATATATCTAACACGTTTTCACCAAGGAATACAACCTTTTCCAGTTTGATATACAATCATGCAATGCAGTTAGGTAATGCAGGTATGCTTACTAAGTCTCCTATGAGTAGGGACTCATAGCAGCGATGGTGTGGGTTCAGATTCAGGTGCCCACGACTAATTTTCACCAGTACTGTACAGTTCAACTCTCATAGTGTATCGGCTCAATCTTTGCTGAGTAGGCCTATGTTCCATGTGTAGACCCGAGGCTTATGTGGACAGAAAAAACATAGAGGCCACCAACCTCCTTTTAATACAAAAAATAGTTTTGTTCTTTCTGGTTCAGTGTGAAACTCCCCAAATGCCATTTGCAAGGTTTATAAGGAGCTTATTAGAAATGATCTAACAATCCAACTTACTTCTTTGCTTGTTTAGTCAGCTGACGAACTTTCCTTGAGTTGGGATGTGATAGATTTGCAACGGAGACACTTTTGACTTTACCCTGAAATTAATGCAATCATGATAACCTTGTCACAGCAATAAAATAGGCTACGATTAAAAATTGCAGTGAACATAGATAAATAAAATTTGTTTTGGAATTTTGGTATAACATTTTTCTTTTGTCTATCACGCCCTGTTTCGATTAGAGTTTGAAAAAACAGATTTAAATATTTTGTTGTGTAAACGTAACTCGAAAAAAGTTACCACATGTAGTAAACTTAACGAGAAAACAACATTTCTGCAAACAATGAAAGTTATATGTTGACACTGGTGTATAAACACTATTGAAGAAGTTATTTAGTTGAATATGATTTGTCAACATCTTAAAACCTTAATAATTTTCAATGAAATTGTGACCATAGGCTACAAAGTAGGCATTTTAAGCCAAGTATGAGTGTAGTAAAGTGTAAGTGTATGTTAGTGTAGTGGTAATGAGAGTAGTTTTAGTGGCGCGATCTTGCAGTCTTGTTAGTGACTAAGGTCGAAATATTCCTTAGACACAGCTATTAATTTAGCCCATACAGCTAATGGCAACAAAGGACCTACGGTACAGTTTATAGTGGAATCCGAACCACATTTTGCCTTGGTAAAATCAAACAGTGGTTAAACTAGCTAAAAAAATGTTCTATTAACTCCTTCACATACTTGTTTAAAAGAGGTTTTATTTCCTCTAAGTTAATAGGCTATTTACTAAGTTCTTTTTTTTTAATAGATCTAATTTGGTACAGAGTTTAGTAGCCTATGTGGAATCTGAAAATGTGTTCTTTACGTACAAACCAAAGTTCACAAGTCAAGGTTAATTATTGGTTCCGAGAGTGCCAGTTAATTTGTTCCTACATTAGGCCCCATTCGCCTATTAGGTCTGATGATGATTGGAGTCTCCAATCGAAATTGATCACCACTTACCATCTTAAGTATACCGTCTTGTGAGTAAACAGTATAAGTGTAAATATATTATTATATATTTTTATTTTTTGTGCTTTCAGGTAACAAAAATTACTTCAGGTGGGGGAAAATACTTTGAGAGGAGAAGTTATGAGGATAGCAAACATCTGACATATAGGCTACACATATCTGACATAGCCTATCATATAATGTTCCTACCATCCAATATGCTTAACATAAACAAAAGTGAGGGTCATTGATTGTCCTTGATATCAAATCAAATTAAATATCAAAAAATCTTTATTTTATAATCATAGGAATGGTGTCAATACTATAACTAAGACTAAACCTATAAAATAAAACATTAGGTCTACCGGGACTAATATTCTTCTAATGTAGCTACAGTAAAAAGGCAAATTTGGTAAAAATATTCTCTTTCTTTATGTAGCCTAATGCAGTCTGTTGTAGACAGTTAGATAGGCCTATATAATAAATAAGTCAATAATACAGGCCAAAATCCCAAATAAACTCATAATTGAACAAATTTATCCAATAATTAAAAAGGCCAAGCTAGAGACCTAAACAATTACAGACCCATTTATAATCTGCCGATCATCACCAAACTCCTAGAGAGAGTAATGTACCGGTATAACCAATCACGCACCTCGGCTCCAAAAACCTCCTCTCCATAACTTATGCAACACGGCTTCAGGAAGACCCTTAACATCACTACCGCAATCTCAAAATTAGTCACTCACATCACCGATATCTGGGAACATCCTCAGAACAAAATTAATCAGTGTAAATAAATATCCAAGGCGAAACCTTGGAATGGATCAAAATTTATCTAAAAAAGGCAGACGGCAATATGTATAAATTGAAAGCCAACGCCAAAACACAATTTTACCACCAGATCATATCAAGTTGAATTCCCCAGGGATCTATGTTGGCCCCCCTCCTCTTCATTTAATAGGCCTACATAGCTTTCCCTCCAATCTCAACAATAACCTAAAATGCAATACTTTTGCCAATGATACCACCATTGTTGTTCCAACAAATCGTAAAGCAGACAATGTTAACTTAACCAAATAACAATGGATAGAAAACAACCTGTGAAAATTATGAACCTCATAATTAAGAATAAAACAGTGCATATTAATTTCCGAATAAATAGGCTAACAATAAAAGAACAGAGATGATTCAACCAGACTGAGCATTCCCGCAATCAACTAAAAAAAATCCATGGAATCTATCTAAGTTACATTGATGGAAATCTAAGTCAAATCAAATCATTTATTGTCCATAAACATATATAAACAATGCATAGACAAAAGTCACAAATGTCAAAAATAAAAGTCACACAGGAAAAGAATGCAATTTCAATGTATAGGCCTATAAAACAATAAGTATTACCTCTTAGTGTACAAACCTGGGCTCAACTTAGATCACTCAAAATGTAGTTTTCCAAATTGACAGATCCATATAGATTAACTTACCTAGGTTAAAAACTGTCTAACTTAATGCACTTTTGGTAGGTACCGGTACTGTAACTTACTCTGTAGTAGGGATGTTGCGATACCACTGTCTTTCCGATATTTGGTATCGATACCATATCGCAAAAAAGTATCGATACCGGCTCAGTATCGGAACTAAAGTATCGATACCGTCAGTATCGTATCCATTCGATACCAGTGACGTCATGTTCTGATTTCAGTACAGTGCAGCCAATATAGGATTTGAATTCAAGCTGCTAAAAACTTCCTAAATATGTAAAACGATAAAATTAACCAAACATAGCTAACCTTTGTTTTCAATTTTACCTTAAAGTAAAAGTTCAAGTAGGCCTAATCTTACCTTATGTTCTATGCCTATATAATTTATCTTTTCAATAGACAATGAATTACCAACGTAACACATTCGTGTGTACCATCAGCCTAAATAAAAAAACGTTTATTTTGTTAAATAACTTTAAGTGCCATCTTTTTAGTTTATTTATTTGATGTTAAATAGTCGACGGTTTCATTTTATTTGCCTAACACAACGTTGCTAACATTGACTTGTAATAAAAATAACTCTGCACCCAAACCCGGTATATAAGTTATAGTCAATGGTTTTAGTTATGTAAAGTGCTATGCTATGAATGAATAGTGAATCATAATTTACTCAAACCACATATCAGACAAGCTAGATAAAAAAAAAATTAATTGGGTTAAAGTTTGTTTCTTTTTTGGGTCACTGTTGCTCCAGCCTTGGAAAATAGCCGCAGAAGGCACGAGCGTGGCAATTTTACTCAGATTTGTCAGAAATTACCTTCCGATACTTACGATACGATACTGGCCTCTTGGTATCGATACCAAGTAAATATCGGAACAACCGATACCGATACGATACCAGCGGTATCGCAATAAAAGTATCGATACCTACTGGTATCGATAGTATCGCAACATCCCTACTCTGTAGAAACTGCAACACCACCAATAAGTTAGATCTGGACACCACAATGCTAGCCTAAACTTACCACTCCATCTACGCTTCACACTTGAGAAATGGAATTGCAGCATGGGGTTCCACATCTGCCCAAAACCTCTAACGAATAATGATCTTACAGAAAAGGCCATAAGAACAATACTTAAGTTAGATTGGACCCAAAATAACATTGCAAACCACACTTCATCCGCCTTAGCATCCTTACCATCACATCACTGTACGTCCTAGAAAATATAGTTTAATTACTCATTTACTCCATAACTTAACACCAGTCCGCACACAGGAACTCCAGAAAAATAATACAAGACACAAAGCAAACATTGGCCTAGAACTATCCTGACTAGCGAAAACCTGTCCAGACAGAAGAACCATGGTGATTCCCCTGTCCAAGCTTACGGATTGTGGTGAAGACATTGAAGGTAAAAGAAAAAAGTATTAGAGCTTAAAGAGACAGGTTAGTTTACCAATAAGTTACATATAGTTAAATCAGAACAAAACTAGGCCTAGCAACAGTGATACAAATTAGGGCTGTACTTTACTTTAGGTCCTACACTCATTCGAATGAAAATATCATTATTCGATTGTTTCATTTGGTTAGTTAGGTTAACCTTATAACTAACCAAACGGTAAATCGAATGAAACCCAAGTTAAAACATCTTGATGGGAATAGGTTTAAGGTTTACGAACACTGATTAAGAATTACGTATATAGGTACATACAGCTCAGCGATTAATGTACATAATTTAAAACATTAAAACTAGGTAGTCCAACTTACCATTTTGGTTATATAAACCTATGGTATTCGGTATTCTATTTTTTTTTCTCGTAATCGTGGTCGTGGTAGTATGTATTTCAAAACGGCACACGGGAGATTTCTCAGGTGCCGTTTGACGTCACTTTAGCACGGGTCACACTAGGCTGTTTGCCAGCCGCTGGTAATCAGCAGCTGGCACCAGCATCACCGGCTCACCAATCCAGGCTGGGTCAGCTCAGTGTCAGCTGCGAATTTTGTGGTCACATTAAGCTGACAGTCGCGGCTTCTTTCAATTCGCCGCTGATGCCAGCCTAGTGTGACCCGTGCTTAACTGCTGATGTCACTTTGAGGGAACACAAAAATACCGCAACGATACGGTTATGAGCCATCGGCCTCGGTGGTGTAGTGAATAGCGAGGCGGGCTGGGAATCCGAATGTACCGGGTTCGAATCCCGCTCGTAGCACTAACTTTTTGCCAACAATTTTTTTCATATCAGCAAGTTTGGTTGGTTTGGTTAGGTTTTGACAGTTTAATTTTATAATTAAAAAATTATAAAATTAAATTTTAGGCATTTGTAATTTTATTTTATGAACAAAACTATTTTTTAGATTAGTAAACCTTCATTCGATTTTTCCATCATCAGCACGTTTGGTTAGTTTGGTTAGGTTATGACAGTTTAATTAATAGAAAAATTATAAAATTGTCTGTTTCTTCAAACGCAGCAGTTAGTGACGTCAGCAGTTAGTGACGTCAAATGGCACCTGAGAAATCTTCCGTGTGCCCCACCGGTATGTATTTTCTAGTATTCATTCGTGGTAGTATGTAGCCTATAAAATAAGTTAATAATGTAATGTAAAGCCCCCCACAAACTACCAGACCAGACCTCCAGACCAGACCGTCTGGCTGCAACCAGACCGTCTTGGACGGCTCTACACACTACCAGACCAGACGCGCCAGACGGCCTAACATTCGTAATTGAGAGACCGTGGTGAGAACTCCAACAAATGGATGAAGATTGTCAAGATGGTCGGCCGTCTGACAGACAGCGCTACACACTCACAGACCAGACAAAAATAGTGGTGGGGGAACCTCAGACCGTCTGTGGTCTGAGGGTTCAACCATCAGACACGCAGACAGTCTGGTCCGAGAAAATTGGTCTGCAGACAGCCCCACACACGATAAGACAAGTGCTAGACGCCAGACCAGACGGTCTGGTCTGGAGGTCTGGTCTGGTAGTGTGTGGGGGGCTTAAGCTAGGTCCCACTAGAAAAAAATTGAACATACATAGGCCTAGTACAATACGTGTGTTGATGTTAAGTTGAGTTTACAGAAAGTGAAAGAGAAAGACCGATGATCGAGCCCCAAGCCGAGCGAGAGACCTTTTTGGATGCTGATTGCTGATGCTGATAATGCTAAAAAAAATTAGTGATGTGACGAGTTGAGTTGGCGAGTCGAGTTGACTCGAGTCAAGACCCGAGTCGAGTCAACTCATTCACAACTCGAGTTGGTACCATCGAAGTATATAACACAACTTGTGTTATATACTTCGATGGTTGGTACGAACTCGTACGGAGATTGCCAAAGCTACACGAACTCGTAACGTAACGAGTCCGACTCGCAAAACTTAAACAGGCCGCGGCTCCACTTGCCGTAGATTGCAGCGCTGCAAATTGTAGCCGGTCAGTTGAAGAAATGGGAAGGCAGCGATCAAACGAAGGCGGCTCCACTAGCGACAGTCTGCAGCGCGCTACATTTTACGGCGCGCCGTAGAATGTAGCGTCGCGCGGGAATGGAACTCGGACCATTTTCGCGCTACATTTTGCAGCCAACAGGTGGCTCCACTAGCTGTAGATTGTAGTGCCGCGTCAAGTCACGTACAACCGACAGGTATACATGGACAAGACACACACGCTACAATCAGTTTAGACTTTTTAAAGTGCCCTTACTTTTTTATTTTTGTGGATTGATTTGTAATCAATGAAGCCTGACCTGGACTGTGAAGTTATTACATTAGAAATTATTAAATTATTACATCGGGAGTGTGGGAATCTTGTTTTATAGAGGTTGTGTAGGAGTTTCCTACTTTATATTATAAAGTAAAACAGTAGTGATTGGAGACACAAATACGTGAAAACATTCAATGTTTTTAAGTGCAGCAGTCGTACAATTGTTATAATTATTAGCCCTATAATAAAAAGCTAATAATGGCTGTTTTAGATTATTATTACAGTAATAGGTACAACAAAAACTCACGAAACTCATTGATATTCGCCTTACATTGGTTACTTAGAAATATTACTTCTGAGGGTGAATGAGTGTAATAAAATTAAAATAGAATAGAAATAGAGATAAAATGGCCATTATAGTAGAGTAATTCGACACACCAAGGATTGTTGAAGCGAGGGTTCACTGTATAAAATTAATTAGTTAAAATTCAGTACCTACACTAAAATTACCTTAATTTCTTTGAAAGCCTTTCCTATACTCCAATTGCTTCTTTTAGTTTGGTATCCTTCTTAAAACGTGTTGATACTGATTCTATTAAGTAATCAAACTAGTTTTGGGACATTCGATAATATTCAAAAAACTTGTCTGAATATTTTTGTAGTTTAGTATGCAATGTGTGGAACATCCCTTCGGACTTTCTGTTGCTTAATATTGGATGGATCCACCATTTTCCTGCTGTGATCGGCGTCATCTTGATAAAGTACACCACGATTACTAGAAACTAGTAATCGTGAAGTACACTGATAACAACAACAACACTACGAATGTTAATTTGCGGCTTTATACTGGGCCAAGTTGACCTCCGCGCTACACTAAACTGCTAGTGGAGCCACGGTGCTTATGAGGACGCTGCAGATTGTAGTTCGTACTCTGCTGCTAGTGGAGCCACCAACTGTCGCGTGTAGCGCGCTACAATTTGCAGCGCGACAATTTACGGCAAGTGGAGCCGCAGCCACGCTATTAAACGCTACGCTATTGGCTCACAGCCTCAAAGCGAGTCAAGAAACCGAACTCATACGGAGAAAGCCGAACCTTTACGAACTCGGGACGTAACGAGTTGACTCGCTTTCGGCCAATAGCGTCACAGCTTTACGAGTCGACTCCATAGATTCAACGCTATTGGCGGAACGCGAGTTGAGTTGACTCGTATAACTGAAACCCTATTGGCCGAGTGCGAGTCTGGCGGGATCTGTATCAGTTCAAATTGTATAATTCACTGGGTGTTTCAAATAGGGTCCCACAAAGAGATTTAAGTAAATAAATGTAACTCGGATATACTTAATAGGATAAAAATAAACAAATAAATAAAATGATAACAATTTAGTGGTATATATTTTGAAGTGTTCAGAAATACGGTACAAACATGCACAATAAAATAGTATGCACTTTTTTATCTTTATATTATGTATCTTACCAAAAACACTTGCAGCAGTAAACATAAATGATTTAACTGTTTAAAATTGACTATTTTCCGGTACCGAGTCGGCCGATTCGCAAAACTATAACCCTTCATTATAAAACTATAAAAACCTCCTAATTACACATGCTAACAGAAACTTTTTAAAATAGCGTAGCTTAAAAATCAAGCAACCATAGTTGACCACATTTATTATTTGATAAAGGGTTAGAGGGAAAATTTCCAATACATATTCCTAAGTGAATGTACCATAGTTTTGAGTCCTTATTTGACTAAGGATAAGGAGGAGTTGACATGGGATCTTGATAACTTTATTATTGTAATTTGGTTTAATACAATAAACACTTCCTCTATAGATTGAGTTTTACTAACTGTCTTGATTAGATCATGTTAACTGGTTTTCATGTGGTTTTGTGGGGTGAATATGGATTTGTTGCATATTTATCATGAAAACATCCAACAAAATTCAGATATTTTCAGCTCTACCGGTACATATTCTTTAAAGACACCAAGAGAGTTGTCAAGATCCCTTTTCTTTAGTTTGCTGGCGATATAAAACTGTTTGTGGAAAGTTGCTTCCCTCCATGACTTTGAGTCCTTGCTCAAGGCTCTTAGCTAAGACTTGACCAAAGCAAAGATGATGGTAAATCCCACCAAGAATAAGTTGAAAATTGTTAGCATTAAATACAATTATCTGGATATTGAATATTTCCTAGATTCTTATTGACTCGTCATATGAGTCTGTGCCAGATATTCACCACATCTGCGCCAAGACCTCTGGCATTCTTGAAATGATCTGCTCTGCAAGACACTGTTTGAGCATCCATGCTGATCCATGACTGCTAGATCCAGTATACATGTAATTTCTATGTGTGACAACAACTAGGTTACTACTGTGTATTCTGGTCGGCTTTACCAGTGCAGCCTTATTCACAGTCTTCGTTTCGTCCCAATACGGGAAGAATGAGCGTACACCTTTTACTCATAGTGTATTATTTAAAGTAGTGGCCACATTGGTTGGCTTCCGGGGAGTATTTCAAAAGTTCCAAAATCGGAAGATCCAAAGAATATATTGCCGATCGGAAGTTCCAAAATCGTAAGATCCAACGTTTATATTGCCGATCGGATCTTCCAAAATCGGAATTTCCAAAGGTTATTTAGCGGGTCGGAAGATCCAAAATCAAAAGATCCAAAGAAAATATTGCCGATCGGAAGTTCCAAAATCGTAAGATCCAAAAGTACAGTCATAACTAGAAGTACAAATTTATTTCTTAAAGTAAACTTATGAAATAGACTGTCCTTTCCACTTTGGAACTTGTGATCATATGCCGGGTCGGAATTTCCAAAACGCTACTAGTCAGATCGGAACATCCAAAATGCTAGAACTGTTGCGTCTCTCAGATTGAAGGCGTAAACACACGTCGTCACCAGCAACGTTAATGGTTATTTGTTTTGTTAATTGATATTTTAATTAATATTTTTTTATTAGTATTTTCAAGTACACACACTTAAATACACACGCATTCATACATACATGTATATATGGGACTTTGAAGGCATGCAGGGCTAGTGTTGGTATTGTTTACTATTTATTTTCAAAAGTAAAATAACGTGTTTATTTTTATTCTTAAAAGATGGTTTAAGTATTAACCTCGACAATAACAATACTAAATTATCTGGCAAACGTCTTAAACAAATAATAACTTATTTTTATAGCTTATGACAGTTTTTGTTTACTCCGTAAGAGAATCCAGAATAAATCATTTGAAAAATGAAAAGATAATGAATTTGTCGTGGTTTATTTGAGCTGAACTATTAAGTTGTAATAGTGTACTAGTAACCAACGCTAAATATTTGAAGTTGTTTCCGGTTGTTGTAACAAACAGGTAGTTTCAAATTTAATTAAATTGAAATTGTAACGTTAAATTATATTTAGTTTTCCCCACAACTAGCGAATGTCTGCTGTAACCTAATTCAAGTGAAATTTAATTTTTTCCTTACAAAGAATGTGTTTTTATCAAAAAATGTAAAATGTTCAACTGTATATCAAACATTTGCGTCTAATCAAGTTTTTTTGGAGATTCAATTTGTGTACCTAAGTAAAAGGTTTTGTTGTAACAATTTTAAGTCATGTTTGAAAATACTTATTGTTCTGCAAACTATCGCTTAATCGTTGAAAATATGAGAATTGATATGAGAATTGATAACATAGAGCGAATTAAAATGTTGTTTTTAAACATTGTCTGAATATACGTCTTAAATATGATGTTGAAATGGTTTTTGGACAAAAAATACACACACCAAATAAGTAGTTTGGTTACTTTTCTATACAGATCTAAACTCGAGTGTCTAAACTTTTCCCCTGACATTAGCAACGCGGCTGGTTACGGCGTCCATCGCCTTCAATCTGAGAGACGCAACAGTTCTAGCATTTTGGATGTTCCGATCTGACTAGTAGCGTTTTGGAAATTCCGACCCGAAATACGATCGCAAGATCCAAAGTGAAAAGGACAGCCTATTTCATAAGTTTACTTTAAGAAATAAATTTGTACTTCTAGTTATGACTGTACTTTTGGATCTTACGATTTTGGAACTTCCGATCGGCAATATTTTCTTTGGATCTTTTGATTTTGGATCTTCCGACCCGCTAAATAACCTTTGGAAATTCCGATTTTGGAAGATCCGATCGGCAATATAAACGTTGGATCTTTCGATTTTGGAACTTCCGATCGGCAATATATTCTTTGGATCTTCCGATTTTGGAACTTTTGAAGACCATCCGGCTTCCGGGCGGTGGTGAAGGAAAACAGGCAGAAGAAGACACCGAAATTGGGAAGAGAAAAACAAAAAAACCCAAGTAAAAGTAAACAAGAAAGAAACGAAACGAGGAACGAACGTCGTAAGTCTGGAATTGGAAATTGGAATTTGGAATATTTGGAATCTGGATTACTGGAATGGGCGGTCGGTTCTTTTTTGCCAGTGCCGGTGCGTCTAAAACTAAAGCTAACCAACTGAGGCAAAATCAAGGCAATTAAGGCAAAGGCAAAGCTCCTCTGGGCTGGGCACCGAGTTCAGTTATCATAAATCAGAGTTGCGTTGTTAGGACTTAAAGATCTGTTTCATGAAAAGTGTGTTTTAAGTAACTTTGGTCTAGCCTATCTTGGTCAAACAGCAATCTTAATCACACCTGTTGATCTTATTTAGGATAGGACCCACTAACCATGAAGAAGCTTAATCAAGAAGAACCTCGCTGCGTTCAGTGCTCAACGAGTTTTTACTTCAGAGGTGAGTGAACGTCTGAATTTATTTAGGCCTACCCTTTCCATGTGATTTTTAAGACTTTTTAATGGAAATTATTTGATGGACTGACTGAAAGTTACCTAGGCCTAGGCTAGACATCCTTACAACTAAATTGTCTTGCCCTAGCCTAACTTATGACACAGGTGTAGCCTAATCTTGGTTCCAAGTCTCATTGCCTTTTTTAGTACATATTTAACTTAAGTGTTAAGATGATATTCCTTCTTCCAATGAATGTAGTTGGTCTCATTAGGCCCTAGGCCTCTTTGCCGTTTACTGTCAAATAAGACATATTATTTTCTTACCGTAATGTAAATTAGCCTAAGTTAGGCTAGCCTAGGCCTAGGTAGCCTACTTAACTTAGTACCTGACTAGGTCTACTCCATAGGCCTACTTAGCGGTAAGTTAGGACTAAAGCTTTAAATGTGTTTAACCCTCCAAGTGTCCATAGTTTAGGCCTTAATGTCCACCTATTTTTGGCGCATTTGCAAGGTTTTATTAAAACGGATCTGAGAAGCTTAAAACAATGTTAATTCTAATGTTCTAAGTTATATACCATTTTGTTTGGAAAATCATGGGCTTCAATATTATATATAAAACATAAGGAACATTTTTTCAAAACAAAAACTTTTAGGTAAAAAAAATATAATTTCGAAAATTTTCAAAAAAAAAAATAAGTTCGCGCTCAATGAAATTGTATAAATTATAGGCCTATAAATATTTGAAAATAGCCACTTTGTTCTAAATTTTATGAGGATTACAAATATATAATAACATAAGGAAGTATATTTGCAAATAAATAAGTTATGGGCAAAAAACTTATTTCAGTACATAGCGTTTAGCTAAGAATGCATAGCCTAACCATAGCTAGGAATCTGGCTGATAATTTACATCAATATCACTACCTACTTCTTCAGGATCATCAACCAGCACTTCAAAACCACTTAAATCTTCTTATAATGCACCACGTATATCACTACTTTCGATTTTTAACACTAAAACAATGATAAATGTAATAAAACACATCAGTCATCGGTCCGGGGGAACCTAGCTGTTTACAAATACACGCACGTCAGCTGTCTGCTACAATATTTTCGGAACTAAAATGAATAGCGCTTAGAGACAGACCTCTGGAGAAAGCTTAGAATATTACGGAAAGAACGATACCTAACTCGATCCAGTTCAATCCGATTCAGTCAGTCATAGAGCCTTCGCCGTAAACGATGTCTGCGTGTCGAAAAATCGACAAGTAACACTACACAAAGTGTGCTGCTTGTCGAATTTTCGTCAAGTAACACTGGGAGGGTTAACCCTAGGACTGCCTTCCGCCGACTTTTTAGTCTGCGGTTTGGTGTGTGCGCTTGTTCCCCAGCCAGGTTTGGACATTAATTTCCAAACGCTTACGGTATTACACAATGAAAATGATCCAGAAGCGTAATAACTTTTATACCGTTGGAAAGAAGAGATTCTGAACTTTTATTTTCATAAACGAACGTCATAGCACTAACTTAAGCTTAAGTTAACAGATCAATATAAATGCTATATTTTAATTTGAACAATATTTTGCGCGCTTAAAATTTTCAAGCTGCAATCGACAAAATCTTGTAGCCTAAAACACGCTTTATTGATAATAATGTACAAGTTTAATTTTGCCTAAACAGGAAGTGTTTGTTACCATTGGAAAGAACATGAGTTGTTCTTTGTGTTTGTTTAGAGAAATTTGTCATACGTTAACTTAGGGAGTCTGAAAAATATATTTTTGATAAGTTATCAGCTGTTTTGTTATGTTTTTGCTCAAACCGCCGGTTTCTAAATCACGAATAAATATGTTGATAGCCAAATTGACATTAGATTGATGAGAGTCATCTATTTGAAGATATGAAAATGTTCTATCTCTATGTTTTGATGCCTTTCAGTACCTACCTATTAAGATTCAGGTGGGTCGCTGGAATCATAAAATGGAACGAGCATTTTAAAAGTATTTAAATAGTAAACTTGAGGTAAAGAAAAACAAACTTGCTGATAATCAATATTAAATATTTAGGCTAATAGGAAACGTCATTTAACAATAGGCCTACAAAGTTAAATATCTAATTAATGGACGAATTATAAGTTTTTAAATTTACAATTACAACCTGAATTGTCAGCCAACACAAGCTCAGTATTATAATAGGCAACGTCTTCAAAACGTTCAACAATATACTCGGTGAATTACTCTACTCCAACACAGTACTGTAACTGTACAATATATTTAGGTGGTGTAGGTACATTTTTATAGAGTTTAAGAATTCAAATAACTTTAAGTGCTCGAATAATACTTTGGCAAAAAGTATCTGGTTTCAAAATTAGTTCACGAAATAGGGCAGACTAGGAGGCGTTGCTCGCCACTCCCAGGCTGCCTTCTACAATAATCGCCGGGAAAAATACCCTCAATACCTTAATTGCCACCAGCACCAAAAAAGGTTTTGTGACAATCTTATAATTCATTTTGATAGCCCCAGGTTTGCGTTTTATGATAATAATGGTAGTGTTTTGGCGGTTCTTTAACTCCACCATCGTCAGGCTTACAAAAGGACCCACTTTAGGAGGTGTTGTCAGAATATGTTACAAACATTAAACAAAAAACAATAAACGATAACAGATAGGCCTATCAATTAAACGTGTGTACATTGCCGCGTGCAGAACTGGAAGTAAACTAAGAATCAGGTTATGGCGGACCGACGTGGTCTCTGGATTGTCGTCTGTGTTATCTACAGCTTATATTGGACTAATTGTAGTGTAGTGACGGAGGAGAGTGTTGAAAATATAAAGGGATTCATAATTGAGTTTCACATTCAAAATTATTTCGACAATAATAACCACTTTAATGCTAGATATATAAAAATTCTACATTACTGCGGGAAAAAATTTCCTTTAATCAATTACTTTGGAAAAGTTTGAAATATTTAAATACATAATAAGTACTAGGGACATTTTGAATGAAAACACTTGATTAATTATGAAATCCAATTATACTTTCTACACTCTTCTCAATCACTACAATGGTCCAATATCAGCTGTTGAAAACGCAGACGACAATCCAAAGACCACGTCGGTCCATCATAACCTTAACCTGATTCAGTTTACTTCCAGTCTTGCCGACGGCAATTTACACGCGTGAATTGATAGGCCTATCTGTAATCGTTTTGCGTTAAATGTTTGTTACGTACACTGATGACACCTCCAGAAGTGGATATTTTTGTAAGCCTGACGATTGTTGAGTTAAAGAACCGCCAAAACATATGTAGCAAGTAAAATTTGACCCTACCGTACATGTTAAGGATTGTCTAACTAGGTGCGTTTTTACCATTCTTACAAGCAACCTTAATTAAGAGAATGGCAAAATGTTGTTGGTGTTGATAGTGAACTACCGTACTTTTTTGGGCTGCTTATGCAAAATTATACATTCATTATGACAGCTAGCAAAAAAATATTCCCCCGAAAAGTTTGTGCCACAGTACCTCCCCTCTGGGCACCCCTGGTGCGGCTACATTATTATCTGTGCTGATTTTCATCAGAGGTTAGTGTAAAAGAAGTGTAGGGCCTATTATCAGGGTGTATGAGTTAGTAGTAGTGTTTATCCATATTACGCTGGGATATTATTATTTATGTCCAAATTTTGTGTTATTGATATAGCCTAGTGATTGTTTAGAGGTTATGCCTATAGGCCTAGCCTAGGCCTTAATCATAGCCTAGCCTACAATGGTATTATGTGTGTCTCACGCCAGAATAATGCCTTTTGTATATAAATTGTATAACCTCCTCTGATTATATTTGTATGTTTCAAATTTTCAGACCAAATTTGTTGATTTTCCCCAATTTCCGCATTTCCCCCCATAAAAAAATTACTGCATTTTTGAAACAAATCAATCACATTTTCATGTAGGGAAATAAATTACTTACATTTCATATATCTTAGATTGTCTGTAAAAAATTTGGTGTAGGCCCTAAAAATGCTAGGTGTGAAAATTATTTAAAAAATTTGAATTCATTTTTATATTTTAATATTTTACAAAAAATCCACTAGCAGGGATTCCTGGTATTTAATTTTATTTTATTCTAAATCTCCTTTCTTTGCTAAACAAAACAAGTATGATTATGACTAGGTTATCAACGGTACTTTAGGCACTGCAAACTGTTATAAAAACCTCTCCAAAATTGCCACGGCATTCAGCATTTTGGCATAAATCTGGCCAGGGCAATAATAGGGTTAAAAGGCAAACCCATTAGCTGTAGCTTTTAAGTACTATCAAGGCCTACATTAGCCTACATTTTTATCCTTCACAAATTAATCAATCATAAATTTTCTTAATGTTATTACCCTATAACTACAGTATAAAGTTAACTTAGTTGCTTGGTTTCAACCAAGCAATAGACATGAAATTGATTTTTGTGTCATGATGATTGCTCAAATTTAAACTGTCTTAAAAGCTCACAAACTTGTTCTTAACCGAGAAAATGTTAAATCCTAATATCTGTACTGGAAGTATCATCAAGATGTCACTGTTTTAACTTTTGGCCTTTTTATTAAAAGTCATTGAAACCATTTCTTCGCATTAAAACACTTTTGCTGTTACCTATTAAATAAATTTAAATAATTATGTACTATGTAGTCAACTAAGATTTTTTTTTGAAATTTGTACAGTTGAATGTTTTTAAGTTTTATTAAATTGCGGTTTACTGAGAACAACAAAGGATAGTGAGTTTTAACCAAATTAGGAGCTGTTACCAAGTAGTGAACTATGTACTTTATTTTTGTGTTGTGTTTGTATGTGGTTCAAGGGAACTAAATAACATGAATGGTAAGGGAATAGTGTGGAGTTAGAGGGATTAAAGTTCTTATAAAGGCTTGTTTTGTTGTGTACAGTAGGCCTAGAGAATATTTTTCAGTTTTATTAAGCGGTTTACTGAGAACAACCAAGGTTAGTGAGTTTTAACCAAATTAGGAGCTGTTGTGAACTGTGTACCTTATTTTTGTGTTATGTTTGTATGTGGTTCAAGGGAACTAAATCAAATGAACGGTAAGGGAATAGTGTGGAGTTGAGGATGTTTTGTTATACATACCATATTTTGTGTTCCAGCACTTAGTGGATGACCCATGTTTCGGCTTCTGTTAAGCCATAGTCACATCTTTCAGGACCGAAAATGATTCATCCTCTGATTTTGTCAAATAATTAACACCTTAAGAGCACAGAACACTTAACATGAATACAAGAACAATATGGCAACAAGGCCTACATTAATACTGAAAAAATAGTCGACAGGAATGTTCCTCAATGGTCGGTAAAAGTGCACTAAATTACGCTGAGTCATCCACTTTATAGGACGAGACATGGTTTGGACGAAACCTGGTTTGTTTCAAACATCAGTAATAAAGTAGATTCCTGATTGATAATGAGCAGCTGAGTGATTGTGGATAAGCAGACATAACTTAAAATGCCCAAGAAATAGATAACATCGACTTGGAATTTATAGAAGTTGAATCTTTAATACCTATAGGTAGATGTTGGTACTAATAACTCGTTTGATATGCAATGTAGATATCTTTTAACACGTTGAGTGCGGGCTACATTTATTGATATAGTGCGTCACGACGAGCGCTCCTATAAGCCTACATCTATATATGTAGTTGTGCCACTCCCACTACATTAGTTCAGTATGAGCTCAGCCATTGCCGGGGAACGTTAAAATCCTTGCCAGTCTGTAGCTTAGAATGCGAGCTTTAGTTTGGTTTTGGTTGGTACTAAAATTTCCTGTAAAATCCTGTCTGGCAATGCTATTGTCCAGGTTTCGGGGATTTTTCTCTCTTCGAGTTACATTACAAAGACACTGGCTACGCATCCAGGCAATGCTGCTACCTTCGGGTGTATCAGTGAACTACGTCCAATCTCGGGGTAACGCAGAACAAACACTGCTGCTCTTTTGTGATTCGTCAGACTGAAATATTTGAATGCAAATTGCGTTCGGTGGCGCGCCGGAGCTTCGCCCCCATTCATTGGCGAATGCCTGATTACAGGTTTTCAGCACTCAACCGAGTGCTTTTATATGCAAATTTAATACCTACAGTAACACACAAAATGTAACTTATGAACTCAATAATTGTAATCGGTGACTCGACACTGGTTGTTGAAGCAACTCTTATCTGCAATAGTCAAACTGTGATATGATGGAGATGCTAAACTTCTTGGTCGTTACTGTATAATGTACATATATTTTTTTGCAATCGTTATAAATTCACTTGTGGATAATCGGGAGTCTACTGTTTATTGATTGATTGATTGATTCTGTAGGGGCGGACCTTGTCCTATTGCACGTCAGCCACTGATGGGCTTTTTGCGCTCCCCACATGGTACTTCAGAGTCCGTCAAACCTGAGTTGCTTAATGAACTCAAGCATCCTGTCAATGAGCTCCTCCTGAGGAAGGTGTCTGCCCCTTGTCATTACACCAAGAGTACTGTCCCTTACCTCATTCAGAGCTGTGCAGTCGTAGAGTAGGTGATCAGCAGTCTCCTCTGATTGCCCACATTTCCTACACGCAGTGTCACCATTGTGGATCCTCAAGCGATGCAGGTGTAATTTCAGAAAGCCATGTCCAGTGACCATTCCTGTGATCTGTCTGAGTCGCCTCCTGTCCAAGCGTAGGGCATTGGAGGCGACCGTCTGGGAAGGAGAGAAGAGGGTGAGCTTACTTACCCTATGGTGCTGAAGCCTAACCCATCTTTTCCTGTGTTCCTCCTGAGCCCATGCCATGACTGAGTGACATGCATGCCCACGAGAGATTCCACAGAAAGGCTGTGGTCCCACGAAGTCTGAGGCTGACGCGACATTTGCTAGCCTGTCAGCCACCTCATTCCCTTCTATCCCTGAGTGCCCAGGAACCCAACAGAGCGTTACCTTGTTGCGCCTGCCCAGGTCACATACCGCAGAAAGGCAGTCCCAGACCACCTTAGAATTAAATTCATAGGAATCAAGCGCTTTGAGCGCAGCCTGGCTGTCTGTGAAAATGGAAATGTTAATGTCCCTGAAGCCTAGCCTCAGGTTTTCCCTAGCACATACCATAATCGCAGTCATTTCGGCCTGGAACACAGTTGGGTGAGTGCCCATAGGAAGACAAATGTCCACCCCGTTCTGCACTCCATGAATTCCAGCCCCAGTCCCACTTCTTACCTTAGAACCATCAGTATACCATTCAAGGTCGCCTTGTGGAAGAGGATTCCCACCGGACATCCACTCATCCCTGGACGGAAGGAGGACAGTGAATGGTCTGGCGAAGAAGAATCGAGTCGGCATGTGATCCGAGGGCATGTCCATTACCTCCCCTCTTACCTGCTGAGTGATCCGAGAGTGACCTCGGGATCCTCCAACATCCAACCAAAGGTTTTCACACTGGAGTCTGTAGGCAGTCCTCCTCGCAGTGACCTTGACATGCAGGTCAATCGGAGTGAGGTTGAGAAGGCAGTCCAGTGAGGCTCCCGGACAGCTGCTCATTGCGCCCGTGATGATGAGACAGGCGAGTCTTTGGACGGCAGCCAGATCTCTCACCGCCGACACTGAGTCCATCTTGGGCCACCACACGAGTGAGCCGTATGTCATGGCGGGCCTTACCACGGAGACAAATAGCCAGTGCATGAGCGCCGGCTTGAGCCCCCAGGTTCCTCCCACCATGCGTCTGCAGGCCATGAGTGACCACTTACCTCGATCAATGACCTTTTGGAGTTGTGGCCCCCATTGCAGCTTTCGGTCCAATACCACCCCCAGGTACTTTACCTGATTCTGCATTTCAAGCACTGTGTCTTGTAGTCTCAGAGGTCCAATGCCATTTAGATCGCGCCTCCTCGTGAAGGGGATAACCGCCACTTTGGAGGGGTTGATAGAAAGGCCTACCTCAGTGCACCATTGTCCAACTGACCTCAAGGCTGTGTTCATGAGGTCGGAGACCGTGTTGTTGAATTTACCCATAACTAGTATCACAATGTCGTCCGCGTATCCTTGAACGAATACACCACTATCACTGAGAGATCTAATTAAGTCGTCCACAACAAGGTTCCAGAGAAGAGGAGAGAGTACACCCCCCTGTGGACACCCTCGTGTGGTCCTGGCCTCCAGAACCTCATTGTGAAGAGAGAGTCTTACCTTCCTCCTCTTAAGTAGAGACTCTACCCACCTGCACACCACCTCATGGAATCCACGAGCTCTGGCAGCATTGATTACAGCCTGGGTTTCAGTGTTGTCAAAGGCGCCCTGGATGTCTACTGTTTATCAAACAACTCCTTCGTGACCAATCACAAAGAAGACTTGGGTCGTTTCTGCCGATAAGACTGCCGCCGGCGCAGTAGACCTGTGTCTGCAAAACTACAAAATGTTGGTTTATCGATGGACAACTGTACCAAAGATATACTTTCCCCTATTGGGTCTGATGATGATTGGAGTGTCCAATCAAAATCGATCACCACTTACTATCTTTTTTTGTATATTTACCGTCTTGTGAGTAACAGTATAAGCGTAAATATATCTTTTAAGTGTTATAAGACGTTTCTTTTATTTACTCTCTATATACATTTAGGATAAAATTAAATGAGATACAGAGACAAGTATTAGTAACATCACACCTACAGGTCTAGGCTGTGGGTGATATTTTATACCAGTGTATCTTATACCAACACCTGTTCTCTTCCAGTTCATCACTTTAGTAAACTCCTTAAATAATTACCTACGTGTAACTTTTGTAGATGCTGTAAATCCCTATGGCCACAAATGCCCACGTATTCTTCAGTGTGGGCATTCAATTTGTGAAGGGTGTCTGACCAACGGCTTTAAGTCTAACGGCTCCTTGACATGCCCATCATGTGCAAAGATATCTGAAACAAAGAAACTGTGAGTTGAAAGGTTTATTTAAAATTTACATGTGTGTCTTCTACTTAAGTTTCTTTAAAAGATTTCCTCCTGACCAGTCCTAATGTGATCCATATCTAGTCCAGTCATATTAGGGTTTTAGGTGGAAATAGTTCCCTAGGTGGTAAAACTTTGCACATGTCTAGTACTAGTACCCAGTAACAACAAAATATTAAAAATCAACTCGTGCCTGCCGTGCTACGGCCGCCATCTTGGAAAATGGTGGCAGATTTTCACTTATTGTCCATATTTCACACAAATAAAAAAAAAACACAATATTGTTCACAAAATATTGTTTCACAATTAATATGTTTTTTGAAATATTAATTTCAATTTTTATCACTAACCGTTAGAGATAGGGTCTTCTTCAACTTTTGTATGAATAATATTTCTGTATTTCCAACAATTAGTGAAGTGTGGGCAAACAAGTGAAAATTGGCCACCATTTTCCAAGATGGCGACCGTAGCACAGCATGCTTGAATGTTGATTTTTGATATGTAGTTACTGGGTACTAGTACCCAACTACACATGTGCAAAGTTTCATCACTTAGGGAATTATTTCTAGGTAGAGGGGTATTTTTACCTAAAATGATTGGACTAATCTTGTTCCTCCTGAATCCTGTTACTAACCTGCCTTTTCATTCTGCTGTTTAGTTCTTCTTTTGACTGTCTTATGTTGAGAACAAAACCAATATCTAAACTAATGTCACGTTTGATACAAACTATATTTTGTGATGAATCCATCAGACTGTATGAAAATCTGTTAGTGACTGTGAAGCATCAATTGGTTTTGTTTTTAAACAGTTCCATTTATCATTATACAGTGTGCAGTTGTTGACATTAATCAGGCTGTATGTGTGTGTAAACTAATGGATATTGTTACATCAATTAGAAGGTTTGTAATTGCATGATACCTACTAGAATACAACTGCTGGCAGAACTGAACTACTCTGTAGTATTTAAAGTAGAACTTAACAATCCAAATCGCCAAATCCCTTACAGAAAGAGAAAAAAAACCTAAAATCCCAGCAATAGAGATATTTATTGAAGAAGGCAGAAGCTGTCAAAATCAAAATCCAAAACCTCTTTAATGCCTCTGCCCTCACGGAACCATCTTAATAGTTCTTGTGTGATAAAATTTTGCCTATGTCCCACGATTTTGTAGGTCATGGAAACATAATCATTTAAACTTCCATGATCTGTGAATTTTTCGATTGCAAGATAGCACTTGGCTAGGTGCGTTCCTGGATCGCTATATATTTAAAGCTCACCTCACCTATTTTGTGTATTATACCCTGCATTTCAGTAAAAATCCAGTTTACCGAATTTTTGATTATCTGAACAATTGATTGGATAATTTGAGTTCTACTGTACTCTAGTGCCATTTTATGCATGTTTTTAACGGTCTACTCTGTGGTAGTTAAGTCATTTTCATGGTGGGTAAGCCTCTGGATCGAAAATTGCAATATAAAATGGTTTATATTATCTTTAGCGTCAAATGATCCGTGTTGTAGTTAGCATCAACTCGAGCTATTTCATGCGGCTGGGACAAATAAATATGCTTTCCTCATACACCAACGCCTACCTCGTGTGTTTGTCACTTGGCAAGTTTGTGTTTTTGTGAATTTTGTGTATAATAGACATTATATATCTTGACAAACTCATCCACAGATGAAAGCATATTTTATTTTAACGTTCTACAACCTGAAGATGTGATGTGCCCCAGCGGCATGAAACAGCTGTAGTTGATGCTAACTACAGATGCTAACAGATTGTTTGATGCAAAGGGTAACATAAACCATTTTATAGTTAGTCATTGATTGTTGAGTTACTTCATAGCCTATAGTCTTTCTTGTTTGCGAAAAGCGGTTTGGTTTCTTCTGAATAAATAGAACCATTTTACTATTGTAATGATTTTGAAATCCAAACTTTTACAAGGTAAAACCTTTAGAATCCCAGGATCTTTTTGATCGGCAGGTAATGTTTTTGAGACGTAAGTTTTAAATTTCTTTGAAATGTCTTCTGTTGTTTTAGCGAATTTCCTCATGGGGAATAAGCCTAAGGTTACCTTAGGTTTCATGGTAATTCCTGGGCCTTGCACCAATGTAGTTTTTCGTTTTAATAGTGTGATAACTCGAGGTAAAATGATCCTATAAGGATAAAATTTGGTGAAATTTAGTGTAAACTTACGTTTATTCAAAAGAGTTCACGAACCAGCATGATCGGAGTATAGGAACGGGGGTTTATGGGGTGTTCTATGGGGAAGAAATTGGCTATTCCCATTTTTGTCCCTAAAAATATAAAGTTTAAATTTAATTTTAAACTATTTTGTAGGGATAAAAACAAATAATTTAATATATGAAAGTATTTTTGCATGCCTGAGGTTTACGAAGAAAATTACTAAAAAGTCTAGCCTAAATTAAAATAACCGCTTTAGGCTAAATTAAAACAACCTAAATTAAAAAAGCTGCTCACCTTTGTTCACTTATTGTATTTACTATATACTATTGCTTGTTTATCTCCAGAATGTTAGTTCTGCTCTTATTTAAAACCACCATTCTTGTCTCAGTAATTGCCAATTGTTGTTTTGGTTTTGAAATTATTTTTGTTACCTATTTGCTATGCATGCACTATTTATTATTACTTCTTATTTATTATAAAGCGCTTATTGATTCTTGTGTGAGCATGCATGCACTTTTACCAATTGTATAGCTTTGCATTTTTGTATGTATGGTATTTATTGTACAATGGTTTTTTCCGTAAATAAACAAATTGAATTGAATTGAAAATTCCCATGCTATTCTTATAGGGAAAAAGTAAACAGTTGTAGTTTGCTTGTTTATGGATTTTGAATTGATTGAATTTTGCAAATTTGTTTATTTTATACTAAGCTATCAACATTTCAATAAAATAAACGGTATCAGCAATCTTACACATATACTTTCTCCCATTAGCTTGTGATCCAACCTTTATAATGGGTAAGCTGTTGGAGTTTACGTATAATATTTTATAGGGAAAATCACAAAAGTTGCAATCCTTTGAACCATAATTTTTATGGTGCACTATATTGTTTAGAATTATAAGGATCATAATGTACTAATTTTAATCAAAACCGGCATTGAAAAAGATCCTATTTTCCATTATTTTATGGGGTTTTAACGGGAAAATCACTCAATCTAGAATAACTTTTAAACGGTAATTTTTACAGCAATGGAAGTTGTACCATTTTGTTAAGAATTTAAAAGGCTATAACATACTAAATTTGTATTTGGGCTGTTTGAGAAAATTTGATTTTCCTGTTATTTTATGGGTTTTTGAGAATCACCATTAAAAATCAAAATTTCAAAAAGTAAAAGAAAACCCATGGAGGTACCATCCATAAGTACCAAATTTCATAAAAATTGGGACTTCAGGTGTGGTCTGTAGATCTGTACACATCCACACACACACAAACACAGACATCACTTCAAAAACCACTTGTTTGGGTCCTGGTGGACCCAAAATGGATATCCACTCAAATCTCAATAATTTTGACTAAAACAATACTTTCTCCATATACTATGGTATAGGCGGAGAAAGTAAAACTCACCTTATTACCTTCCCTGTAGCAGCAAACCTAAGTACTCATTTAAATTAATATTATTTATAAAATAAAGTGACAATTAAGGAAGTATTTTTCAGTGGAAATCTAACCAGACAAATGGAAATTTGCTTAGTCTGCAGGTTTGCTTTGGCGGGGGTATTTGTATTTTTAATGTATCACTTTGTTTTAATAAAATACTAGCCTTGCTTAAAATATTAGTTATTCTTTTGATGAATCAGTTTTTATGTTTTTCTTATTACACTCACTAATCTGGCATGTTCAGGACTTTGGGTATGCCAGGTTACTGAACATCTAGAAAATTTTAGAGTTCAATGGGTATGCCAGGTTTCTAAACATCTTCTATAAAATTTTAGAGTTCAATGGGTATGCCAGGTTTCTAAACATCTTCTAGAAAATTTTAGAGTTCAATTGGTATGCCAGGTTTCTAAACATCTTCTATAAAATTTTAGAGTTTAATGGGTATGCTAGGTTTCTAAACATCTTCTATAACATTTTAGAGTTCAATGGGTATGCCAGGTTTCTAAACATCTTCTAGAAGATTTTAGAGTTCAAAGAAAAATCTATTTTCTGGTATTTAAAATTTCATTTTTTTGCAGAGATACGACCAATTTCAAGAAGACTGAAATGCTCACTCTGAGAGAAGATTTCCCCATTAATGTCTACGCAGTGGGACAGGTATCATTGAAAAAGAACAAACAGCATATCATGGGAGATGACATGATAACATTTGTTCACAAAAAGAAGAATATGTCGCAACAAAAAACAGGTATAGGCCTAAAATTTTTTAAATTGCTTTAAATAAGTTATATCTTAATAAATTTGTTCTAATAGATAAACTTCTACCAGATTGTTTTACACAAAACAAATGTAATTTAAATTGGTTAAATTAACTAGGGCTGTAGGCCTAGTTTAAAGACTGTGTTGTATAGGAATATCCAACAATATCCAACAATTATATCCAAGCAGCAATATCCAAGGATTGCTGGCTTAGTGTTGAGCGTGGTCCAATGCTCCGAGCCCTACTCCAGATTGGCAGAAACCACTCATCCCCCTATGCACAACAAATTTAAAATTTTAACATTCTTGCCAAAAGAGTGTCTGATTACGAAATAATATAAAGATTACATACCTCTGTCCGTCTTCAGTATTAAAAAATAGTGAGTTCTGTCATGTCCGCCATACAACCTGTGTCGGTTTGTCCTGTGCGTGAATGAATGTGGCCGGCCTACAGCTTTTTAAATGTATTTAAATTAGGGATGGACGGGATTGAATTTTTAGTTCGGGACGGGACGGGACGGGATTTTTATTTCCTTCCCGATTTTCGGGACGGGACGGGACGGGATTTTTTTCTGTGCATAAAAAGAAAGTACTGTATTGCAGTTACCAAAAAAAGACATACGAAATCAATTTTTACCATTTTTGGCACTGATCTATAAAAATCAAAAAATGGGTAACAATTTACAGGTACCTATAGTAACTTGGGACTCGCGGGTCACGGGGTGATCGTCTGTATGACTCACGGTCACGGCGCGATCGTCGTCATGACTCGCGATCACGGCGCGATCGTCGGTATGACTCGCGGTCACGGCGCGATCGTCAGTATGACTCCGCGGTCACGGGGTTATCGTCGGTATGACTCGCGGTCACGGCATGATCGTCGGTATGACTCGCGATCACGGCTCAATCGTCAGCATGACTCCGCGGTCACGGCGCGATCGTCGTCATGACTCGCGATCACGGCGCGATCGTCGTCATGACTCGCGATCACGGCGCGATCGTCGGTATGACTCGCGGTCACGGGGTTATCGTCGGTATGACTCCGCGGTCACGGCATGATCGTCGGTATGACTCGCGATCACGGCTCAATCGTCAGCATGACTCGCGGTCACGGCGCGATCGTCGTCACGACTCGCGGTCACGGCGCGATCGTCGGTATTACTCGCGGTCACGGCATGATCGTCGGTATGACTCGCGAACACGGCTCGATCGTCAGCATGACTCCGCGGTTACGGTGCGATCGTCGTCATGACTCGCGGTCACGGCACGATCGTCGGTATGACTCGCGGTCACGGCGCGATCGTCGGTATGACTTCGTCTCCTGCGTTTGCGGACCTATCGCTCTCAATAACGGCGTTATCGGCACTCGCGAAGCGGAAAAATCGCCGACGATCGGACCAAATCCCGTCCCGAAAAATTCCCGAGTCAAATGTAATCCCGTCCCGATAATCGGGAATATTTTTTTCCCGAAAAATTCCCGATATTTCGGGACCCGTCCATCCCTAATTTAAATGTACTCGTATCTTTGTGTAAATATGAACTTTATGTGTCGACTTGTATATACGTTTTGATATAGACTTCCGGTGGGTTATAGACTAATCAATTTGATGTGGATTTAATAATGGGCCTTTGACCTGAAACTAGTCATCCCCAGACTATATTTTAAGACTGAAGACGGACAGAGGTGTATGTAACCTTCATATAAAATTTAAAATGTACCAATTTTGGCTGTTGCCCTGAAGTTATAATATATAGCAAATTTAACTGTATATGCCAAACATTTATCATGGCCTTAAATAATATGTTTACTCTTCTTGTTTAGTAGAAACTCAATTATTCGAATCAATTTAGAGTGAAAAAATAAAAATAGAAAAACAAAAACCTATTACAGTATTTGCAATCAGCATTATTTTTAAACAACCTAAAATAACAAGCTTGTTTACAGTTCCAATCTACCAACAGTTGAACATTTTACCCATTCAGCACCTTTTTGTTTTCAAAGTTCGTTGATAATTTTTTTGTTCAAAATCGAAATAAGGTCAACGTCATGTCAAGTATTGCACATCCGTACATATAAGAAGCTGTACCAATAATACACTTAAATCACCCAAAGTGCAATTCAAGTGCAATGCAATTTTTGTCCACACTCTTTTCAATACTTAGGCCCAAAATAGTATTGCTATTTACCAATTCAAATAAAGAATACAGTAGTTTGAATTTAGACAGTTTAGCTGAGCAAGGATAATAATTTGGCTTTATTCTCAGCAGGATGAAAACCATACAGCCTATGATAAAATTTATATTAATAATATTTAGTTAAAATTAATTTTCTTTGTACTCAAATAACACGTGTCAAGGAATTAGGCCTACCATCATGTTTTCAATTTAGATGAAATGCCTCGTCTATATATACAGACTGTCCCAAAAGTCCCGGACCGGTTTTATATTTTCTAAACGACAACAGATAAATCAATAAGATTTACTACATCAACACCACACCTAAAAAACTAATTTTTTAAGGAAATATCAATTTTTTGTCATATCATGGGAACGCAAGGAGTCAGACGGAAATCTTAAATAGAAGCATTATGTTGACATGTACATCAAATTAAAGACCTTTACTAGCAGAATAAAATGCCGCAAATTTGAACTACGATATGAACTGACGCGACGTGACGAAGGAAAAATCAAACTTACACTCTAACGGGTATACCTCCTTTTTGAAGTTAGAACGTGTCTTCCCAACAAACAGATTTTTTCCAAATAAAATCATTAATCTGCATTACACTGATGAAATCACAGAAGTGTTTAACTACAAAAGATCCACCAATACGATTTTAATACCATTTAAAGGTTCTTAATCTTCCAAAGGAAGAGATACCAGATAGCATACTAACAACTCCGATGACGTACAGTATGGGAATTATTTTATTCATTGAATGATCAACCATATTCGGTACCGTAACTACTGTAACGCAATTAATATTTCTCTAAATCCTAATTTATTGTTGTATTGTTGTTTTGTGGAAAATAAACTTAATTTTATTTTACTAATATTCCTTTTTAAAAGAAAAAAAAACTCTGGTGAAATATTTTAAATCTCTAGGGGTTGTACTTGATGTTCGAAAGACTATCTGCATCTGTGATGTTAGCATTATGATCTCTGCTGTTGTAAATACTTCCCCAGAGGACCTATATGACCAATTTGTTGTTTATTTGTCCAGTTACGTGTAAAGAATGTGCAGCGAGGCAGGCCGATTGCTCCTGTCGTCAATGCGAAGTAGAGCTTTGCAACTCCTGTTTCTCCACTGTAAGTTAAATATTCTACATAAAAATCTATTTACTATTGTTGTATGGATAACAGAACTGTACCATAGAGATGGGAATATGACTTTCACAATTATAGAGAAAAACCTTACGTCTATGGCATAGTTTGTGTACAAATTTGATTAAAAGTATATTGTTTATTCAAAGGAAATGAACAAAATACAAATTGCGGACGTCATGGCTACCAAAAATAAAGCAAATCCCCCCCCCCCCCCCTACTCCACTTGGTGAGGGGTGTTCTGATATAACGTAGGAATTTCGGTAGGTTAAGCTGTTAAGAGGACTCCTGACAGGCGTTCTCCTTGCAGGACATCTTAAGGTAATTTTGTCAAGGACTGTTCACACCGGTGTCAGTAGACATCTTACTACGTCTTCAATAGATGTTGCTGATGGAGCCCTTAAGTGCTGTATTGTACCACAGCAGTAAGAACGGGCTTTACGCCAGTATGTAACATAGTGGATTAAGTAAGGAGCACAACGTTGGTATCAGATTTGAAATAGCCTAGTTCGTTTGTCTTCAACAGGAGCTTGTTGGTGACCGTAATTTTAAAACAATCCTTGTATTGACTATATGACATGCTTAAAAAAGGTATGCAATACTACAAGATTGGTAAAGATTACTAAAAAGTGTACTAATCATTTTATAAATATTTTGTGAACCACTATTGTTTGTGTGTATAGTGAATGTTATTTTAATCTGTTGTCAACTTTCAGATTCACGACAAAGTGACTCTCCGAAATCACGAGAAAGTGCCATTGATACTGAAAGAAACAATGGAGTTCTTCAAAGAAAGCATGTGCAAAATCCACAGTGGAGCATTTCTCAGTATTTTCTGCAGAGATTGTAAAATATACATCTGCAAAGAGTGTGCAGTCAAAGACAGCCATCTTGAACATTGCTGCGTTGACACGTTTAACTTGGTGAGTGGTAATTGCAGCTTTCTCCTTAAAAACTAATATACAGCCTAATAAAACAACCGGGATACAATTCAAAAAATCCACTTAATCCAAAGACTTATATTTGGAAACATTCCCAAAAATAGTGGTAAAAATGGTCTGGTTAGGGCTTTTATTAGGTTGACTTGATATAAACCACCAGTAAGGATATTTCAGTGTTTTAGCAAAGATGCATATTTTAATGTTGAGTGGTTCAAACATGAATTTCTATAAAACGCAGTAAAATAATCGGTTTAGAACTTTAGGATTTATTATTTAAATGTTTAAAAGCAAGTGGGTGTCAGTTAATTTGTCAAAATCTGAAGGAAAACAAGTAAAAGGGGGTTTCTTTATTTAAATTTGAGGCGGTTTGATAGAGGTTTTGAGTTCTAGGAGTATGGATTTTGTTTTTATTTCAGGGAAATAAAATAAAGTGATAGCTCACCAAGAAAAAAAATTTAGCCAAATTATTGCATTATTCCACTTTAGAGTTGTTTGTCAGAAGTTGTACATCTCCTTCATTTGAAGAGCATTTTTTAACCAATTGTACTATGTTGATATTATATGATATGATGTAGAGTCAATCAACGTCTTATCCATTTTATATATTTAAGCCTTTTAAAATCAACCAATGAATTTGTTAGTGTGGTGGCTCACATTTGCACATTGCAGATCTAATCTCCGATGTTGTTTCCATTCATTATTCGCTGGCTGGTAAAATTAAGGGCAAATGATTCAACATATTACACAATTGCTGAGTGGTTATTTTGCATTTCAGAATGAAGAGAAACTACCAGAATTTTCAGAGCTCTTTGATGAAGTGAATGACGTGCTTAAACATCTGCTTGCAACAAAAAAGGTAAGTTATCCAAATTTTATGTTTTACTAGCTGCTCTACCTGTGCTTTGCAACAAGAATAGGACACAGAAGGGTGAATTTTATTCTTTAAATCTGTTGTACTCTATAGTGGGACATGCACTATTTGTTTTGGAAAATGCAGTGTTTTTTAAGTACAATGATGAAAAAGTGTCACTTCGTCTATCGGGATGTAACATAAAATAGCTCCGATATACAAAATGTCAGCTCATGAAGCCTATGTTAACAATCGTCCAGTAACTAATGAATGAATTAATAACTAACATAAATAACAATTATCTCATAATTAAAATACCACCGGTGCACCGGATGTTGAATTGGTGGTGCCGAGCGGAGCTAGCGCCGTTTTCTGCTGTAACGGCAACTTAACCATCACATATTTTAATTGTGATGTAAAAGTTTTGATTGCATTAACTTAGCGAGTGGTATGATAGCTTAATAATCTTTTATAATAACAGCCAGTATGTAGTTCCAGCACTTAACCTCCAGATAAAGTAGATTTTTGTGGTTTGTGGTTGGAAGGTATTTTATTTATTACATTACCACTTGACCGCCTGAGATATTCAGGATTTTGCTGCGATCGCGGATGACGATGATAACGTTTCCGAGACTGCGGGAGCCAATAATGATGATCACACAACCGCAGGAGATATTCAGGATAGTGTTTCAATATGGCGAACCAACCACTTTTTGTTCCAGAACTGTCTTTTGATGTTCATGCTACTAAATCTTCTTAATGAAAAAAAACCAAAGCCTTGCTCCATTACCAATAATATGATGATGCCGCTCTGCACTCTAGCGGAGAAACATGTCTTCTTCTGTTGTTACTTGCGCTCCTTGTGGCAATATTCTTTCGTTTGAAGACAGTTTTCTATCATGTGCTGCCATCTGCGGCTATATCCTGTACTATTTTTTATTAAGTTCTACACAATATTTGCTATTGGAAATTTCCACAGCAATTATTGATTGTTGTTTAACATACTTCAGTTTCATTTTTTATTATTCTATTTTACTAGATGGACACCCATCACAACAACCACCTGAGATATTCAGGATTGTGGCGCGATTGTGGGAGACGTTGATAATGTTTCCCTGACCGATGGAGATATTCAGGATTTTCTATATTTATTTATTTATTTTTTTTTTTTTTGAAAATCACAAAAATCTTACAACATTTTATATACAAAGCTTGCTGCAAAAGCCAGGAAAATTTGGCTTGTCTGCAGCTCATAGAGATAAACTTGTTCTAGATAACAATGTACTTTGTCCCTTGGTCAGTCCTTCTCCATATTACACTCTGGTTTTCCTTGTTTCTTGTCAAGATCTGCTATTATATTGTTGTTTTGACTTATTCTCTACCTTTCTATATATGACTAGCTTGCTTTAAAAACAACTTGAAACAATTATCTTAAATAAATAAAATATATAACAATAAATAACATGCATTAAATACTTCTCAACTTTAACAAAAATATAATGAAATAATTTTTATAACAATACAACAATACATAACTAAATAAATAATAAATAATTAAATTATTTATAATAACAACAATATTGAACCAGTTTTAATGGATTCCTTGAGATGTTACTGTGGGAGATAATGATTTTAGAGTTCTTTTACGCTATAAAGCTTACCAAGTAAATGTTTGTTTCATTTTAATCAAATTTTGGTACTTAACTCTTACGTTTACTTTTTATTCTGGCACATCTTTAGTGAAGAACAAGATTAGTTCGACAAATCAGGAAAAAAATATACAAGGGTCAGTACAATTTTCGGTTTCTTTCAACAAGGTCCCCAGCAACACTTATACAGTACACTTGTCCCATCTTTCTGGTTGATTCTTTAGGTTGATCTCAAAGTCACTTTTGCACCTGGTTTTTTTACCCCTTCATTTGATTGAACATGTATCCCTCGTATATCATCTTTAAGAGGTCCAAACAGATGGAAGTCTGATGGGGCAAGGTCAGGGCTGTGAAGAATCTCCCATCCCAGTTTCTGAAGCTTTCCTTTCATCAGCTGTACCGTATGTGGACGGGCGTTGTCATGAAGCAAAATCACACATTCAGTCAAGTGCCTGGGCGTGAGTGACGTGACCTGGGGCTATCAAATCCAATCGATATTTATCTTTTCTGCTTCTATTTTAATTTTGTTAAATCAAATGTGATATTTCAAAAAATATAATTTGGAGCCTACTGCATATCAATTATGGACTGAAATAGTTAGTTGAATTTACAATCCATTTTTAACAAACTAGGATAACGGGTTAAATACAATTTTAAAAATTTACTTGGTAGGCCTACCTGTTTTAGGTGTGATAGTAAGGTTATGTAACATGATTTTCGGTTCATAAAGGTCTTACTGAATTATGCTTGGTGGCAGACGGAGACCGTAATTACCAACAATGTTTTAAACTGCAAGTGTTTTTGAAATTGCAGGATATTTTTCAAGGAAAGGCAGTAGGATGTAAACAAACCTTTTAAATCATTGTCTCCAGCCAGTCCGGGCCCTCTCAAGATCATAGACTCTCCCATCTTAGCCCTCCCTTATCCTTTTTTTTAATACAATGTTGCGCATTGCAAATAAAATTGTGTTACGAAACATTAAGAAATACCCCTGCCGCAGCAAACCTGCAGACTAAGCGAATTTCCATTTGACTGATTGGATTTACACTGAAATGTCTACTTAAAAATATAACATTTATTCCCGATTTAAATAGAATTAGTTTAACAAGTACTTAGGTTTGCTGCATCAGGGAGGGTAAAACTGGTTTTTTTTTTTTTGTAAAATGTTAGTAGTTAGTAAGAAATAAAAACATTTTCCAAATTTGATCAAAATATGTTCATAAACAAGCAAATTACAACAGTTTACTTATTCTCCATAAGAATAACATGGGAATTTTAAATTTAAAATTTTTTGGAATTTTCTCTGTAACCATTAGGCGCATAATAACGCTTCAATATACTAAATTATTTGTTTTTTTAAGCTCTACAAAATGGTTTAGAAAGAAATTGCTAAATTTTATGTTTTTTGGGTCAAAAATGGGAAAAACCTATTTTTACCCCATAAAAGCCCCCGTAAACCCCCGTTCCCATGGTCCGATCATGCTGGATCGCGAACTCGTTCGAATAAACGTAGGTTTACACGTTTGTACCAAATTTCATCAAAATCGGATCATTTTTGCTCGAGTTATCGCGCTAACGGACACATATATATATATAAATATATAAATATATATATATGAATTTGAACGGATGGTGTTTTTGGCCTCTAGGGACCTCAAAACGAAAAAAAAAATCGGTCCCGCGTCCAGGTCTTACCATGAGTACTACGGTAATAGCTTATTCCCTATATGGGAAATTCGCTAAAATGTCAAAAAAAGATATTTCTCTTGTTTAAAAACAGAAAACTGTTAGAGATTATTTTAAAGAAATTATTTACCGCATTCGTGGCTTGTAAATATTTTATTTCATCTTAAATACTGTACATCTTTGTATTTATGTGTGTCATTGTGTTAGAAATTTACCTATAATGGCATCGGAGCGCTCCAAATAACAAGAGAAGAGCACGAATCGACGTTCATTTGACCTTGGTAGTTCTTTTCTCCTTTATCTCTGGCGGTTCTGGCGATTCAAAATGGCCTATATGTATGTTAATGGGGAATATAAGCAATCAATCATCATGCCAAATTTCAGCCCAATCCGACAAGTAGTAATGTGTGATTTGAGTCCCGAACTAACATACACACAAACCTCATTCTTTAATAATATCATAGTACTTGCATATAGTATGATTATAGTGAAATATAAATTTTTGAAACATTTTTTTTTAAGAGGTTGGCGGCCTCTTTTAACTTTACATTTGCCTGTCCACATGACTAACTGCTCGTGTATGGAATGCATCCAGAAAAGAATGGGGTGAGCCAGTACAGTACGAAGGTGAACTGTGCTGATAAAATGTTTCAGTGACCAGGATCCGAACCCACGACATCACTGCCTTGAGCCCAAAGTCCGTGAAGCTACCGACTGAGCTCCATCGATTTACTAAAATAGATATTTTTCTTTAATACTTTTACTGCTAGTAAAATATAAAAATCTTTTAGGCAGTTCTAAAATTTGTTGGATGAAATTTATATTGAATATTAATGCAGCCCCTGTTACACTAGGGTGGCCGGCTACAGGTTGAAAGTGTTTACTTACACTGAATTAAATGGAATCCTGTTAGACTACAATGGCTGCAGTGTGGCTATAATGAGCTACTTGTGTGGCAAGCTACACTGTGGCTGTTCTCGACTATATAGTAGCTGGTCACCCGGGCCGTGGCTGCTCCGCACAGTGGAAGTGCACTGTTTCACATTTGGATTAATGAGAGCTTGGTTATTGTTTTTGTTCATCCTATTCTACCTACTTAATTTCACAAACTGTGTAATTATAAACAAAATTTATTTTACTAGTTTAGAATGTCAAAAACATTATTTTTTTAATTACAAGAGAAGGCTTACATTATGAACAATATAGTAGGACAAGAGACTGGAGAGCATATAACCAGCAGAAAAGCTGATTCTTACTTTGCGGTAAGTTGTGGTTAAAGTGGTTGGTGGTTTAAAGGCCTTGTGTATGAAATAATGCGCTGGCCACTGTAGTGTAGTTAAGAACAGAAACAATAACCTGAATGTGCTCTGTTTTCTTCCTTAATTTCGTTTTCTTTGGTAGGAGAGCTAGCAACAACATGAAATCATTGTTTGACGGCATCTATACAACTAGAAAACTGATCTACGTTGATCAGTCCACTGTTTAGCTCGGTGAATGGTGACGTAGCCAGCGACCGTGTCAGTTGCAAGGCTAGTGTGGTGGTTTGCCACTGTTGCAGTGGGCTTACCTTACTCAGTATTTTTACACTTGTCTACCATTTTGTACAGATAAAGATCACTCTTTTTATATTTTAATCTCTTAAGTTTCTTATCTTTTCTCCACCCCTTTCACCTTCTTAAAAAAAAAATAATAAAAAAAGGAAATTAGCAAAAAAGTTTAAAAAATTCTTGAATGTTAATTTTGTGATATACAGGGTGTCCCGGAACTCTCTACCAATATTTTAGGGCATTGTTCCTGGATAAGAAACATATCTAAATATCATATTTAAATTGTCCGGAAGTCCTTAGTTACTCAGATAGCCGCCATTTTGTTTTTTTCACTTATTAATTTTTTTCTGAAAATTGGTTAAACATACGAAGTTGAAACTTTGCACAAACATTTATGACAACTAGACAAAGCTACAAACAAATTATGACGATTTTTCAAATTCATAAAACAAAATGGCGGCTGTTTAAAATTTTGTTTCTTAAATTACTCGAAAACCGTTGATTTTACAAAAATGTTACAAGAATAACTTTTTTAAGGAGATTTTATAACAAATCGATCGACACTTTAATCTTTAAGATCGGACGAGTATTAACTGAGATATGGCAGTTTTAGTGATACGTGACCGCTGGATATAAGTTGCAGCGCCTGCTGAAAGCGGTCACGTATCACTAAAACTGCCATATCTCAGTTAATACTCGTTCGATCTTCAAGATTAGGGTGTCGATCGATTTGTTATAAAATCTCCTTAAAAAAGTTATTCTTGTAACATTTTTGTAAAATCAACGATTTTCGAGTAATTTAAGAAACAAAATTTTAAACAGCCGCCATTTTGTTTTATGAATTTGAAAAATCGTCATAATTTTTTTGTAGCTTTGTCTAGTTTTCATAAATGTTTGTGCAAAGTTTCAACTTCGTATGTTTAACCAATTTTCAGAAAAAAATTTATAAGTGAAAAAAACAAAATGGCGGCTATCTGAGTAACCAAGGACTTCCGGACAATTAAAATATGATATTTAGATATGTTTCTTACCCAGGAACAATGCCCTAAAATATTGGTAGAGAGTTCCGGGACACCCTGTATTGTCACACCTGTTATATAAAAGGTACTGAAATAAATTACATTTATTACAAAACAGTTTATTTACAAAATACAATTACAACTTAACACTACAGCAAGAAGTACTTGAGTATTTATTGGAACTATTAACAATCTTGCTCAGTTGGTGGATTTCTATCTTCAAACTAATTAGTTTTAAGTGATGTTTACATTTTCATATTTTTAAGTAGAACTCCATAGTTTGTTTTTTAATTCAAATTGTTCCTGTTTTTTTTCTGAGCAAGAATAATACTTATTCATCTATATTGCACTAAATATAGAAAGCTATAAGCTTAATCTAAATCTTACATACAAGTGCCTGGGCACTATTTAATTCTATCACTATTTTTCTACTCTAAATATTTACATACAACACACTTATTTCAGTCTGTAGTATAATAAATTACTGTTATTGGACCTTCAGTTAACTAATTAATCTAGGGTATCAAACCGCTTTGAATTTAAATGATTTGACAATTTTGTTTTCTCCATCAAGGTTAAACAGATCTACTTTGCTAAAGTTACGATGTAAATACTATCTTCACTATTTTCAGGTTTGCTGCAACAGGTTTACCTAGCCCTTTAATTGTAACAGTTGTATAGATATTTATGATTGATTATTCTAAACTTCTGTCCAAGTATAATATTGTGTATAACTCGTTAGCAATATTTTTTTCATAATACAATTGAAAGAGTACATTTCATAATAAATTAAAATTCATATGCAGTTCTGAGCAATACCGTTTTCACATTGAATATAAATAACTAGCCTAAAATGTTGTTGCTCATAGAATGGAAATAATGTAATTGAAAAATTATTTATTAAAATGGATATCATTACCTATTGTAGCCTACAAGAATTGAATTCTTGATTCCCTTGGAATGATAATTTTTTAAATTTGGTATTTAAGTACACTTAAGCAGTGGCGGCGTTTATCAGAAATAAGGGACATAAACCACCCGAAGAACACGGAGTTATGCTTTCAATTTAGTTAAAATTACATAAATCTGTCAATTGATCTTCTCTAAAACTTATTATTGAGGGGGGAGGGCAGCCACCACTGCACTACAGTATACTAAAATTTCTTCTGTAGGATGATAAACTCTCAAAGCTAAATTTCTTAACACATTATACAAAATCATTCCAACTAGCATCCTTTACACAAATTACTCTGAACATTTCTGAGCACCCTTAATATGATCGTACACTTCTAATTATTAGTCTTATCACACCGTCAGATTTTTGGCATTACGAAACATGACATAACCTAATGTTACTGTTCATTTGACTGCCTGGTTGACTTCGTCATTGAGCAGCACTTGCAGCGTGTTGGGTGATTTCTCCGTTGTAGAATTTTGTTGTTTCTTCGCCTCGATTTCTTGAAACTTGAGTGTCAGGTATTCATCTACAAGTGGTCCCGCATAGTCCTCAGGGAAGCTTGGTTTCACTGGCAGAATGTATTTGTAGAGCCGTTCGTTCAGAACGTAGAGCTGTGAGGTGGATTCACATTTTACGTTGAACCACCAGTCGCACGTTAGCGCTACTTGGCTGAAAATAGTTCCGTTGGGACACAGGAAGGAGGCTTGACCACCATTTAGATCACAGTAGTGCCAGACCTGGAAAATCAAGAGTATTTTAATCTACCTGAACTACAACAATTGAGTGGCAACAATGCTAAGGAGGATTAAGTCATTGCCTAGTCCATACAGATTGACAGATATGATAGGTTGTCTGGGAGATTTAGACAATTTAAAAATGCCTAAGCTTACTCTCAAATTATAAAAAAATACATACAAGAGGCTTGCTTATGTTTAGGACTATGGCATTACTGGATTATTTAAAATGCCGGATTAATGATTGCCCTCTTAGGAAAGCTGTTATTATGAGACTAGTGAAAATACCACTAATTTTGGAGCATCAAAAGGAAACCATTAATTGTTTTATTGAGCTTTCATTTATTTTATTGGTGATCAAAAATACTAACAAGAAAATAAATTAAACTCAACTCCTCGAATTTCATTGTACCTGACATCATCTGCCCATTAATTGTGTCCGAAGTATGCTACAGTAATTGCTCCCTGAGTAACCTGTCCTCTCGCTCCCTACTCTACCGAACGTTTTAACACGGCTCAAAACAGCATTAGAAAATCTTTATTCTTATACATTGATACCAAAATATTAAATACCTCAATTCAACTAATCTTTACAATCTAAAAATAGCTACAAATTTAATATGGAAATGTAATAGGATCTCTAGTTTTGAAGCAGTAAGCTTATTGGGGAGCGAGCTAATCTAATGGAAGGGCATAGAGATTTGGTTCCCAAGAGTGGTTTGGACTTGGTTGAAATTGTGCCTATCATTAATCGCTTTTACCCATGTAATTATGTTGCAATCCTCTAGGCCTAGACTGAAATAATGTGTAAAATGTAAAGGTGGAAAAAAGTACTTAAATATATTTAGGTGTCATTGATCATTGGGATTATTTTTAATGGTCTTGGTTGATGAACTAGCAGTTCCCAATCCAAAACCAAACTACACACAATATCACATCATCCCATTCTCTTAATTTTTACTGGCATAAATAAACGGACTGTATGTTGTAATTACCTGACAGTTTGTCTCTGGGTCGCCAAAGAAGCCCTTGTATCGCTGGCTCTTGCAGGTAAAGTGAGTCTCAGGTATTTCAGAGTACGCAGGGTAGTCTATGCCAGCTCGGCCCGGCGTGCTGCCCTCCGTCTGCTGGGGAGAATAATCAGGGCTCACTCCGTTGTCATAATCTTCCTCAACATAAGCTCCGCCTGTCGGCTGACCTTTGACCTTTTGCAACAGCTTCAATAGATTCGTTAGTGTTTGTATACTGTAGCCAATGTTTGAAGGTGTCACTTTCTCTGGTAAAGCCTTGTTAAGTTGGTATCCAGCAAGTAGATCCAGCAGGTTATTCTGCTCTACTGTAGGCACTGGAGGAACCGACTGTTCGTAGTCACTTTGTATCTTTGGAAGCGTCGTCGGTATCGGAATGTGTTGGTTCTCCACAGGTATTTGTACTGGTACGTTTTGTATCTCCGGGACATTAATCTCTTGACTTTTTGTAATCGTCATTACAGGGTCAGGAACGTAACTCTTTATATTCTGGGTGTTCTCAAAGTTTGATTCGTAATTGTTGTGAAGCTGAACGTACGTGTTTTCTTTCAAAGGGGAGTACGTCGGTCTGAAACTTTTTTGAATATAAGGTTGTCTAATATTTTGAGGCCTGTGTCTAGGTTGGTAATAGTTTTTAGATTTATACTGTTGATTGTTTGAGGGGTTTTCATTTGCGTAGTGTAGTTTAGTTGTGAACTGTGTCGGTCTTTGGTCCTTCTGTGCGACTTGCTTGGCGATGGACAAGTAGTTCTGTGTGATCATGCGGGTAAGGTCTGATGGGTTCTGAGGCGTGTATTGGTAGTCACTCTGGGGTCGAGAGTAGACAGGGACTCGTCTGTAACCTCCTCCGACCAAGTATCCGACTGGCACTAGCTGATACTTCTGTTGTGGCTGCGGTTGATATTGTGGTACATAGTACTGCTGAGGACGCAAGTTGTTGTTGATTTGTTGTGGTAATGCGTCGTACTGTGGTGCTGCTGTTACATACTGTTGTTGGGGAGCTTGTGTGTTGTAGCCTTGGTCCAGGTAGTAGGTCATGTAGGGTATGAGTCGTCGGAACCTCTCCTTGACTGGCAGTAACGATTCCTCCTCCATCAGCTGGGTCATGTTTTGTTCAGATGATGTACACCCACTCCATGACAGAAGACATCCTGCAACACCATTGTGTATCTGTGTAAAAATGCACTCCTTGATTGTTTTCATACTTAAAAGATTATTTTACTCCATTTATTATACGTACCAGTAAAAGGGAAGTTTTACCATAGTTAAATATAAGAAATATTTTTTGATTCACGTTGGAAAAAATTGATTATGATTGATTATGATTCTGTATTTTCCTGATTCGGTGATAGAAAAAAAGCGTTACAGAGGCTAGTGTAACATAAAGCCACCATGAAATATGTTTGGAATTTAAAGAATTATGATAATATTTGTTCACTTAAATTGTGGATGTTTGTACCCTGTTAGTTTTTAGATGTGATGTCCTTTGTCCAATGTAAATTATCACACAATTACAAACAACCCCTAATTAGTAAGCTATATCCATCATTTTTCTTTGGACGATAATTTTATGAACAAAAATGTAGATGAGGCGCATTCACCATTAACAATACTTATGTTTTATTTTCTTTTAAAAATGATAAAGTATACCCTTAGGTTATACAAACAGCCCCCAATACTTAAAAATTTAGGTGGCTGCTATTTGGTACTGCATTGGATACACACAAGACACATAATTTGTTGGTGTCTAGCTTGTAGGGTTTGCTTTTTGAATCCTTTTTGAATTGGAAATTCACAAAAGTAACACTACTCAAAGAGTTTGTATGGTTACTTTAGGGCAATGGTTGCAATTTCAATATCAACCGAAAGTTAATTTTATATAATTTAAGATGTGGTGACAGCTGTTAGTAGTATTCCCGATAACAAGTGACAATTTGAGTAGTTAACTTTTTGAGATTTTTCAAAAGACAATGTTTACATAATTAAGTTGTCAATTTAGTATCCAAACACTGAATATAAATATAAAACACTATCAACTAGTGAACTAGATGAAAACCAGTCAATTTGACCATTTGAGGTCAGTTGTCAGATATTACAGTGGTAGGAGTGAGAGATTCCAACCATCCCAAGTATTGAGGTTGTCAACTGCTGGCCAGATGGGTGTGTTAGACCTTTCACTGACGATATGATATATAGACTACACTGTGAGATGATTCTCTCTGTTGCATAATAACCTGCTTGAGATATGCTGTTATGCTTTTATTGCCATCGTCTCCTCGTTTGAAAGTCTGTAAATCATCAACCACTTACATTTACCAATGGTTTATAGGTAGGGCAGCCTGAAGGTATGGATTTAATTTTTTGACTTAAATCTACTTGTGCTTTGTTGGAGAAAATCCAGAGTGCACAAACATATAACGGCCAAATTCCAGGGCTTGTACATTTGTTAACAACTGAACATAAATTTTTTGCATCAGGTTAAAGTATGAATTTCTCTATCTCTCATACAATTTGCCTTAAGTCACCCATGAACAAACAAAACTGTGTTTGTTGTCCTGCCTTGACCATTTCATATTTTTAAAGATACAGGAGTGGTAACAAGTTTTCATGACCACATTAAAATTTTTGATCGTGTTTTATAAAATGTCTACTTTTGATTAATTTGACTATGTATGACACAATTGTGGCTTGGTAGCTGAGTGTTTATAGTGCTCGCCAAGTAAACAAAAGGTCACCAGTTCGATCCTGGGAAAAGAGAGACCCAGCTGTCCTTGATCATAGGGCGTTTAATAAATGGTCTGGCTAAGAAACAGCTGGTCTTTGTCAGTAACAAAGCGACACAGATCATCTCACTCCATTCTACACTCACACTTCATATATCAGCCTACAACATGTACAAAAAAATGTGCGTCCATGTTCTAAACAATAGGAATTGAATTGAATTGATATTGTTCTGTGTCAACACCTTAAGTAGTATCTTATGGGTCACTGGGTTTGCATCGCTATTTTTGGGTGGGTCCACCTGGTCATCGGTGACCCGCCAAGTTGTGTAACACGTTGAACCATTGACTGGGTCTGGGATGTCCAAAGGCCACTTGCCCAGTTGTATAACAAATGATGCCCCCGTGACTACCGGAACTGTGTTTGTGTATTATGTGACCTCAGTGGCAAGTGGTATTTGTCATACCTACTGTGAGAGGTTCAAGGGTCATAAAGTAGTCGGGTTAATTGAAAAGATAAAGTGGCTAACTTGGATGGTCTAGTCTGTACTTCAGAGGTGGGATGAGTCAGTTAGTTGTGCAAAAATATATTCACATGTGGTTGTTGATTTTTGGGACGCTATTTTAATCCAATAAAACAATTTTTATTTTTATTATTCTCAGAAGGTTGTTATTTAAGAATAACTGCCACCTTTAATGACCCATGGGGGGAAATATTTGTATTTATTATCTCGCAAAACATATTATAAATACAATTGTTCAACATATGTTTGGTACAATTAATTTAACTAGATACTTTTATTTTTCACTGGTGTCTGGTTTGCAGTACAAATGCAGGTCTTGTTACTCTCTAAGCTCCTTATTTTTGTAGGCAGCATCATTAATTTGTTAGCCCAATGACAAATAATGGCATCTAGGTGCAGAATATATCCCTCGTGGAATCTGAACCAACAACTTAAAAATTGAAAGACAAGAACTATAACTCTCGCCCACCCAGACAATTCAAGCACATAATCCATTGGTGTATTATAACTCTACAAGAGCTAACTAATAAATCCTTTTTTCGATCATATACTGGATATTCACTACAAGATCATGATATTTTTTTTAATTTTCTCTTATGATAGTTTATTTTTCTCTGTTTAAACCATGAAGACATTCTCAATTAAATAAAACCTAATCCTTCTAAGTAGAGAAGTTCATTTAATCCCCTCAGAGTCCACTAACAAGAGAAACAATTATTGAGAGCCGAGCTATCAGATTGTATTAATTGGTCTGACCAAGACAAGTGGCCAGAGTGAAGGTAATAAACGTGTGAGTGGACTAACATTGCATAATGTCTCAGTGATATAATAGCAGGGAGAGCATTAGGTACAGCAAGTTGACACCGGGTTTACTTTCTCTGAAGACACTCCCGAGACCTGCCTGGTGCTTTCCCCGGGTCACCCGTGCCGCTGGGTCGGTCGAGATAACTTCGTGCTGACCTCGGAGTTAGCGGTTAATTATTGCTCTAGTGCCCATTCTCAACCGGCTATAAATATGGATTGCCTTTTACAGAGGTTGTGCCCCTCACTTGGTGGCAAATTATCACATGTTTTCATTACTGTATGCTTTGTTTAGGTTTGGCACGGTTTTATAGGCTGAGTTAATTGAGACGTTAAGAGGTTGTTGGGAAATTACAGCGTGATGTGTTGCAATTGCAAGATTCAAAAGGTTATTAATATTTCTTGTATATTTTTCACAATTTTGTAATATTATGGATGACTTCTTTTAAATTATTAATGAAGGAAAATTCAGATATTTTGATAGAATTAATTGGTTATGTTTAAACTAAAAATTGGTTTGTTTTTCAATCCTTTTACTTTTTTTATTCACTGTCTAACCGAACCGAGAATTTTATGTGAAGTTTTATTTAGTAACCAACTATAAAGAAGAAGACGTAAAAAAAAACTACAATAGCTTTTTTATTAATTTTTTTATCATCTTAATAAATAATCTTTATGTTAATCCTTTCAGTGCTATGCGACGATATATCCTTGTGCGTCTTTTTCCCAACGATATATCCTTGTGCGTCTTTTTTCCAAAAAGTGCAATGGAACGATATATCGTTGTTCACGTTTCATCCGAAAAGAGCTAAAAGACGATATATCATGCCGGTGCGACTTTCAGTGGTGTGAGTTTAAATGAACATATTTGTTGACTTTGTTGTTGTTTTGAAACAGCGATGGATTTCTTTCAATGGAATAGTAAGTACCAATTAGGGAGTTTTTTTTGTTTTTTTTTTAGTTTGACCTGGAAATTTTAGATTTAGAAACAGGAAAACCTGGAATTGCTCAACCTTTTATTTATATTGGATGCTGTACACCCTTCTGTTTTTAGAAGAAAATTTTAACATATGGAATCAGTACAAGTTCATTCACTCAATAATGCTCACACAATTTATGGCTATGGTAAATATAAATACTCTACTATTTTTTTACTACAATTAATACCACTAAATGTGTCTTAGTGAGAGTTGAAAAAGTCTAGTCTTTGGTAAACTTATAACTTTACTTGATTCATACTGTTACTTTGATAGTACATCTGGTACTTAAACTGTTACTCCCCTAGGTTGAGCAATTTAGAATGCCATCAAAGCGAGATCTTGCCCAAACTGAATCCTCCTTTAGTAGTTAAACATTCATTAGATACTTGTTCTCTTGCATAACTCCAGTTGCCCTTTAAAATGCCAACTATTTACTACTGCATACACTAACATTTAGCTTTCACTGTTATGGTTTCCTAATTGTTTACTTCCTCTTTCCCATTCTTTGAAAACAGATGAGTTTTGTGTTAACACACGAACCTTAAGTTTGAATTCTGTTTCCTCCACTTAAGACTCAATTTTAAAGGCTTCTACTTTAATGTTGTGATAGAGGTTTTAAATTAATCTCTCCCATTGAGAAGAATACTCTAGATGGCATGGTAAAACCTAGATCCAAGACTGACTGACTTTTTCAATTTCCCCAGAGCACAAAAACATTTTTTCCCTAAATTCATGTATATATACATACATAGGTTGTATATCTTTTAATGAATATACCAGAGTATTGGGACTCACTACAAACTTGAAACTCTGCTGATCTAGGTATAATAAAGTAAAAAAAAATTATCCCAAATCTATTCATTCTGAATACATCTAACAAAATAGCAGAAGTAAAATAACAACAAAATTAGCAAAACATTCAACCAGCTTGATAATAAAGTGCATCACAATTTATGGACATAAGATTGAATTAAGGGTATAAATCAAATTTATTTTATTCTTGAGTTACCAAACTATCATTTCTCTTAGATTTTACTTCTTTTTAATTTACTTTAATTTTCTTTGCCTTAATTAACATTGTAAACTTTAAAAATATGTGTTTTTTGAATCTGTAAAACATTCAAGT